TTGTTAATTCTGATTGGAAATTATCCAATCAGAATTAACCTGATGGTTTAAATACTTACCTTTCCTGTTCCTCCCTGCCCTGTTGTGGTCTTTACCTGCTAGTATTGATACTGAACTTGTGTTTCTGGTTACGTACTCTCTGGCTTGTTTATCCGACTTTGTGACTTTCTCCTACCCTTTGACCTCGGCTTGTTTCACGTTATTCTGTCTTCTGGTTCCCCTTTACTCGGCTTGTTTCCTGACTATTCTGTGTGTGCTTAGCCCGGCCACTCTAAGGTCCGGTACGGCACCTTTTGTGTGTGTGTGTGTGTGCCAGCGTGTTGGGTTCCCCGAATCGTGACATTACAACAGGGCCATAATGGAACCTGCTGACATACCACAGCTCCTAGTTAATCAAGAGGCTAGAATGGATGGCTTGGACCACCGTATGGATCAGTTTGCTCAAGCTTTGCAAACCATTCTGGCTCGTACTGCACACTTGCAACCTGCCGTTCAGGAGGCTGCTGCTGCTGTACCCGAACCCATTCCCACTCCAGTACCTGTTCCCGCTCATGTAGTTCACATGAAGCTGCCACAGCGTTACAGTGGTGACCCAGCATTGTGTCGTGGTTTCCTCAACCAAATCGACATCCATTTGGTGATGAATCCACGCTCCTATCCCACTGACAGATCTAAAATTGCCTTTTTGATAAACCACTTGTCCGGGAGAGCTTTAGCATGGGCCAACCCCATTTGGGAAAATACGTCTCCTATGTCCTTTGCAGATTTTCTGACAGCTTTCAGACGCACGTTTGATCAACCCGGTAGGGTTGCTTCTGCTGGCAAGGCTCTGCTTAGGGTCCGACAGGGTAACAGGTCTGTAGCAGATTACACTATCGAATTTCGTACTCTAGCAGCTGAAGTGGTTTGGAATAATGACGCCCTCGTAACAGCCTTTCAGGAGGGTCTGGCCGCTTATATACTGGATGAAATAGCATCCAGGGAATTACCTGCTCTTCTAGATGATGTTATAGACTATGTGATTCTTATAGATAACCGTATTAGAGAGAGGCGTAGCCAAAGACGGTTGGATACACGGGTGTTACCTGCTCTACCCAGTATTTCCCTGCTAGCGTTACCCGCTCCTATGCAACCATCCCCTGAACCCATGCAGTTGGGTGCCACGGGGTTAACTGAGGCCGAAAGAGCGTACCGTAGAAGGGAGGGGTTATGCCTTTATTGTGGGAAGAGGGGGCATCACTGTAAAGCCTGCCCTAAACTACAGGGAAACTGCAGCACCTAAGGCCTAGAGAGGGGTCGGCCTCGGGTGTTATGACTTTGTCCCCTCATATGTCCATCTCTAGACCGTTTATTACGGTTTCTCTCTTGGTCGATAAAACCACTATAACAACCAAAGCCCTGATCGATTCGGGTGCGGCAGACAACCTTATGGATGAGACCTTTGCCAAAACCGCAGCCCTGAATTTGATCCGAAGGAGACACCCTTGGCCGTTGAGGCCATAGATGGTAGACCACTGGAGAAACCTCTGGTGACCCATGAAACCAAGGAAATAGTTATGTCTGTGGGTGTTTTGCACAAGGAGAAGTTAACCTTCCAAATAATTGACTCCCCAACAGCCTCCATCGTTCTAGGTTTTCCCTGGTTAGTTAAACACAACCCTGTTCTTGATTGGGGTTGTTTAGACATACTCTCCTGGGGGGAATCTTGTCAGCGAGACTGTATGGCTCATGTACGTCCTGTCTGTTTACTTAACGTGCCCACGGCTAAACCACTCTCGGTTTCTGTTCCCTCTGTTTATGCAGACCTTGCCTTGGTTTTTGAAAAGAGGGAGGCAGATAAGCTACCTCCACATCGTGAGTATGATTGTGCCATAAACCTCTTACCGGGCACTATGCCTCCTAGGGGAAAGGTCTACCCTCTTTCTGAAAAAGAGAACCAGATCATGGAGGAGTACATACAGGAATCCCTAAGAAAAGGTTTTATTAGAAGGTCCTCCTCTCCTGCTGGTGCTGGTTTCTTTTTTGTGGCTAAGAAGGAGGGCGATTTGAGGCCATGTATAGACTACAGGGGTCTGAACAATATAACGGTTAAAAACGCCTACCCTATCCCCCTCATCACTGAGTTGTTTGATCGTGTTAAAGGTTCTAAATTCTTCACCAAATTAGACCTCAGGGGGGCCTATAACCTTGTCCGTATAAAGGAGAATGACGAGTGGAAGACAGCGTTCAACACACGCAGTGGGCATTACGAATATCTGGTCATGCCTTTTGGATTGTGTAATGCTCCTGCCGTGTTTCAGGACCTCATAAATGATGTCCTTAGGGATCTATTGCATGTCTGTGCTGTAGTGTACCTTGACGACATACTTGTGTATTCTCCTGATTTGAAGTCACACCATAACCATGTTAGGATGGTGCTCAAAAGGCTATTGCAGAACGGACTCTACTGTAAGTTAGAAAAATGTTTATTCGATCAGACCTCTGTGCAATTCCTAGGATATATCATTACTGAACAGGGTTTCAGTATGGATCCTGCTAAATTGGAAGCTATACTGTCCTGGCCACTTCCCCAAGGACTGAAGGCTATCCAGCGTTTTATAGGATTTGCCAACTATTATAGGAAATTTATAAAAAACTTTTCACCACTCATCTCTCCTATAACGAAGTTGACAAAAAAAGGTCTACACCCTAGGGTTTGGACTCCTGAAGCCCTTAAGGCCTTCGAAACCCTCAAGAAGGCATTTGCCTCTGCTCCAGTGCTGCACCACCCTGATCCTTCTCTTCCCTTTGTTATGGAAGTAGACGCCTCGGAGTCAGGTGTGGGAGCCGTACTGTCACAGAGGTTGTCTTATGACAAACCCCTCCATCCCTGTTGTTATTTTTCTAAAAGGTTGTCTGATTCAGAGAAGAATTACGATGTTGGGAACAGGGAACTATTAGCTATTGTGTTAGCTTTCAAGGAATGGAGGTACTTATTAGAGGGTTCTAGACACAAAATTATGGTTATAACAGATCATAAGAATCTATCCTATATCGCTGATGCTAGAAGGTTATCTGCCCGGCAGGCTAGATGGTCTCTATTTCTCTCACGCTTCCAATATGTTATTACCTATAGACCTGGTTGCCGTAATGCCAAAGCTGACGCTATCTCTCGGCAGCATGAACCAGTAGAATTTGTTAACCCGACTCCTGAACCTATTGTACCTGCGTCTCAGATAATAGCTGCTACCCGTTTGGTTGTTTCTTCACCTTTCCTTGATAGTATTAAGACATACCAAACCCAGGCACCCCTGAGACGCCGGTTGGTAAACTATACGTTGAAGCTAATGACAGAAAAAAGTTGTTAACTTTATTTCACACAGCCAAAACTGCTGGTCATCCGGGGGTTACCAAAACCTACAAGGGCCTCCTTCAACAGTTCTGGTGGCCTTCACTCAAGCGAGACGTAGTGGATTTTGTTCAGGCTTGTCAGGTCTGCACACAGTGTAAGTCCCTTAATGTGAGACCCCAGGGTTTTCTGATGCCTCTATCTATACCCAAGAAACCATGGACCCACTTATCCATGGATTTCATTGTAGACCTGCCTCTTTCTGATAGTCAGACGGTGATACTGACTGTGACGGATAGGTTCTCTAAAATGGCGCACTTTATTCCGCTTAAGAAACTGCCTTCTGCGGTTCAGTTAGCTCAGGTGTTTGCCAAAGAAGTGTTCCGATTGTATGGGGTACCTCAGGATATCGTATCTGACAGGGGCCCTCAATTTGTCTCTCGGTTCTGGAGGGGCTTTTGTGCTGAGATGGGGGTCTCCTTGTCGTTCTCTTCCTCCTATCACCCGCAATCTAATGGTGCGGCCGAACGTGCTAATCAGTCTGTGGAATTGTATTTGCGCTGCTTCACTAATGCGCACCAGGATGACTGGTCTCGCCTTCTTCCATGGGCTGAATTTGCCAGGAATACGATGTCTCATTCGTCTACTGGCTTTAGTCCTTTTGAGGTTGCTTATGGGTTTTGTCCTTCTGTCCTTCCCGGTGCGTTCTCCGACAAGGGAATGCCCGCCTTGGACCAGCACTTCGCCTCTTTGCGGAAGACGTGGGATCAGGTCCATGTTGCGCTGTCTCGTTCAGCAGCTGCTCAGAAAAAGTTTGCTGATCGCCGTAGGGTTGCGGCCCCTTCTTATGTTCCGGGTGATAGGGTATGGTTGTCCTCCCGGAACCTCCGTCTCAAGGTTCCCTCGATGAAATTTGCCCCCAGGTTTCTTGGTCCCTTCAAGGTGTTACGTAGGGTTAACCCCGTTTCCTACTCCCTTGATCTGCCTCCTTCCATGCGTGTCCCGAACACGTTTCACGTCTCGCTTTTGAAGCCCTTGCTGTGTAACCGGTTCTCTCGTCCCCTCGGGCGGCCCGTTTCCCCTCGAGCTGTCTCTGACGACGTGTACGAGGTGGCTGCCCTTCTCGACTCTCGTGTTTCTAGGGGTCGGCTGCAATATTTGGTGGACTGGAAGGGGTACGGCCCTGAGGAGCGGTCCTGGGTTTCGAGCTCCGATGTGCACGCTCCCTCTTTGGTCCGCTCCTTTCATGCCCGCTTTCCTTTGAAGCCTTCCGCTTCCCGCCCCCTGGGCGATCTTCGAGGGGGGAAGTGTCAGGTTCCCGCGGGCGGCTGCGGGGGGAGGCTGCACTCCGCTCGCAGTGCTCACCTCCCGGCCATCCACGGTCCCCTCCTCCTCGTGGGTACGGCGAGCGGCATCCTTCCAGCCTCGGATGCTGCCCGCCGTTCCCTCCACGTCCCCCAGCGGCAGCATGCATGACGCTGCACGCTGGGAGACCTCCCAGGTTTATACACGCCGGGGTCAGTCACCTGACCCGGCGTTAAAGGCACAGTGCCTCAATCACAGTGGGAGGTCTAGATATCTCCCACGTGTGATTGTTAATTCTGATTGGAAATTATCCAATCAGAATTAACCTGATGGTTTAAATACTTACCTTTCCTGTTCCTCCCTGCCCTGTTGTGGTCTTTACCTGCTAGTATTGATACTGAACTTGTGTTTCTGGTTACGTACTCTCTGGCTTGTTTATCCGACTTTGTGACTTTCTCCTACCCTTTGACCTCGGCTTGTTTCACGTTATTCTGTCTTCTGGTTCCCCTTTACTCGGCTTGTTTCCTGACTATTCTGTGTGTGCTTAGCCCGGCCACTCTAAGGTCCGGTACGGCACCTTTTGTGTGTGTGTGTGTGCCAGCGTGTTGGGTTCCCCGAATCGTGACAGCGAGAGGCATCCCCACATGAATGGAGTTGTTGTGGCCGTTATCATATAGGCTGCCTGACAAGTTATTACAGGGTCTCTTAACTATGACACAGCTGATATTCTAGGCCATTTACGATGGTGTTAAAAATTATATCTTTAAACGCTAAAGGGCTTAATTCCCCTAAAAAAAACGCAGTTTGCCTATGAGGGAAGCTAAACACTGTGGAGCCCTGGTTGCGTTCTTTCAAGTTACATTTTAAATGGGGTAGTAGACCTAAATTTAATTCCAATTGGTTTCCACATGATTTTCACGCCTGCAACTCGGCCAAAAAACATGGTGTCTCCACCTTGATAAGCAAGGATGCATCATTTTCATTGCTCCATAATAATAGCGATAAAAAAAGGCGAAACGTAATATTGCAATGTCTCCTCAATAATAATCCATATACCCTGGTCCACATTTACAGCCCCAATGAGAATCCGCATGATTTTTTGCTTACTGTACTAGTTTTAACTGATATGTATAAATATGGGGAGGTAATCATTGGAGACGACACAAATTTTTTGTTAGATGGTGTAACGGATCACCTGGCACCCCGACTGGGTACCTCCGTTGAAGGATGCTCCTAGCGCTTCCTGAGGACTCCAAGCACTCTGGCAGACACCACAATCACCGAACTGGAGAAACAAATAAATTCTCCCAAGCATATGAATGCTGTAGACAGTTGAATAGGAACCATACGAATAGGTTTACTCTCCTAGCAGTCAAACTGGAACAGCATACAATAAATCCTTCCCCCAATAATGAGACGACACTTCACTTTGAGGGTTAAAACAGGAACTCTCTGTACTGTCACATACAGTCTCTTTTATTCCCAATCCACAAACATAGTACAGCCCACAGGGCGTTACAAAACAACCAATCAATCCGTACAATACACCCAGACACTCCCACACAAAATCCTCCCCTCTGCATGTGATATGATTACTGAACACAATGGGTAATCTCATTATCACCGGCAGAGGAATACAGTTTTTACACAACATTTATAACTTCTAAAATATACATGTCACAAACATAAAACATACATTTTCATAATCAATCCATTCAGGGGAACAACATATTAAAAAATGGCACGAATCAGACCAGGGGTTCAAAAGTTAAGGGAAAGTCCTTTGTGACTAAATGAAGCATGGCTTTCTGGCCCAAACCAGTTTCAGAGTCTTCTATCCTGGAGAGTAATTCAAATATCTCCCAGGACAGACACAAGACTCCATTAAGCACATGGTTGCAAAAAGACACAAAACACTTTAAAATACATAAAGTCACTTTTTACACATAACACACAGACATTTTACATATCCCCAGATAGCTGGGATCTGAGCGCACGAAACTACCGAATAGCGCTCAGATCCTATTCACACAGTTCAATTGCCATGGAGCCGAAGTCTTTAACTACACGAATGGGCTCCATGGCATAGCTATCTGGGTTAACACATTCACATAAAGTCTGGTCCATAGTCCAAAGGCAAGAGGCGGGCAAGCAGCCCCCTCCAAGGACATGTGGCGAGGCCGGTTTCGCCACAGATGGCATGGCAGACTCATCCGATCAACACTGTCGGCACGAATCTGTGCTGCATTAGCCAAAGCCATTAGCTTTGTAGACCCATGGCACATCCAGCACCCGACAGACATTGATTATACCTGTCATACAGCAGCACAGATCAGTTACTCCCGAATTGACCGCTTCCTTATTCCCGCCACCTCATTGCCCACAATCGAAGAGTCCAGCATTGGACTCCTCTTAGGGTCGGACCATGCTCCAATTACCCTGAGCATAAGAGAAAACTTCCCCAATATAATTAATTGGAAGCTCAATGAATCCCTTCTCACAGACCCCTCCATAGTCTCCCAAATCTCTACAGACTTACAACACTATTCCCGTGAAAACTAAATTTTTGACTCCCCGATTGACCAGATCTGGTTAGCGCATAAAGCATTAATTCGAGGCAGCTTTATCAAGCATGCCAGCCACGCCAAGAAATTAAGACTTTCCACATAAAGCTTGCTCATAGCGGAGATTACTAAGCTAACACATTCTAATAAACACGAGCCTAACTCAACCACGTACACTAAACTGCTCCATCTCCAGGCTCAACTGAAAAATAGGGAGCTAGCCAAAACAACATATTTACTCCGCAAGTCTAAATACAATTTCTTTGCCAATGGCAACAGGGCAGGCGCCAAATTGGCATCACAACTAAAGCACAGGTCTGTCGCCTACAGGATTGCCTTCCTAGAAAATGGCAAAGGAAAAAAAAGTTAGACCCACATGCTATTGTTAACCAATTAGCCGAATATTATGGTGATCTGTACAACCTGAAAAATGATCCACAGACAGTCCTTCCCACCCAAACCGAAATTGACGATTTCTTAACATACCTCGACTTTCCCTGATTGACAGAGGGAGACCTTGACCTTCTGCAAAAACCTTTTTCCCTAGACGAAATCACAAGTCATATCCAACCTCCCAGCTCGCAAAGCTCCGGGCCCAGATGGCCTCTCAAACAAGTATTATCAAACCTTTTCCTCTATTGTATCCCCACATTTGTTAATTCTGCTGAACCACTCCGACGTGAAAGGTGCTCTTCCGGAGGAAATGCTCATGGCACATATATCGACCCTCCCTAAACCCAGTAAACCCCCAACCCAATGCAAGAACTTTAGACCCATCTCTCTATTTAATGGGGACGCCAAGATTTACGCCAAACGTGTTAGCAACCGATTTGCCCCTTTACTCCACAAGCTTGTACATAACAACCAGTCGGACTTTATCCTAGGCCGCCAGGGATCAGACAATACCAGAAAAATACTTAACATCTTGTCAACCCTGGAGACCCGGGGTACTAAGGGCCTTTTTATCTCATTAGATGCAGAAAAGGCCTCAACCAGCTGAACTGGGCGTATATGACTACTGTACTGTCTAAATTCAATTTTCCAGAAAAAACAATATGAGGCATCATGGACTTCTATGGCACCCCTACAGCCAGAGTCTCGTACTGGGGATTCCTGTCTACGCCCTTTTCCATCACTAATGGAACCCGACAGGGTTGTCCCTTATCACTACTACTGTACATACTGTACCTTGAACCCCTAGCATGCAAGATCCGCAAACATCCCTTAATATAAGGTATCCCCATTCATGGCAGAGAATATAGTCTAGCATTATTTGCAGACGATATCTTTATAGCACTTTTGGACCCCCTACAATCCCTTCCTCCTCTCCTAGATTTACTATGACCGTTCGGTAATTTTTCTCATTATCGGTTAAATCAAGACAGGACCCAAGTCCTTCCTATTAATCTCCCTCCGCAACAGCTACTCATTCGACTGGAGATCAACCTACCTCACTTAGCTGGGGGTAAAAATTGCACTCACTATGCCCGCTATCCTGAAACTTAACTACACACCTCTGCTTGCATTATGAATGAAACTAGTAAACGGAGACCGGTACTACTCTCCTGGCTCTGAAAAGTTAACGCTTATAAAATGATGATCCTCCCTCGCATCCTATATGTTTTTAGGATGTTACCTGTTAAAATCACAACACAATTTCTGTAGAGATTTACAATATTATGTGGTTCATTTATAGGGGGAGGCAAGAGACCCAGGGTGTGTCTTTCTCTCTTACAGACCGTGCCACGACTCGGAGGTGTGGGACTAGCAAATATTAGGTTGTATTATATGGCTGCAGTGTTATCTTCAGGAATCCTCCTCCGTGCCCGGCCCAGCATGATCCAATGGACAGATATGGAGAAGACACAATTTCCAGATCAGTCCCTCATAGATTACATGTGGATGCCGAGATAGTCCAGAACAAAGAGGCCTGACCTATTCCCGACTACACATACCACAATAGCGTTCTGGGATGAGTTCATGCTGGCCATGGGCTATGGAAATACTTTCCATGCCAATTCACCCATATCGGCCCTTAAAGTCATGTTGCCAGATATTTCACTCAAATACTGGCGTGAGGCAGGGATCACACAAATCTCCCATCAGATAGAAGACAATGGGGTAATGTCATTTCCAGCACTACAGAAGCGATGGCAGATACTAATTAGTGCTATCTTTTCCTATTCACAGCTAAAGAGCATTTTGAGCGCTCATACGACATTATCGCATACCACACAGAGTTCTAGCTATGCTCGCCTACTAAACCAAAGGCTCTTACTCTGTGCTACAAGTCCTGGCACGAGCTCTTACTAGCCAAACCCCAACAGCACAAGACACAGTGGGAAATAGACTGTGGCAGGCCCTTGACGGATGTGGACTGGCTCCATGCCCTCAATGACTTATCTAGATGTACGAAATGCTTTCCACATATTGAGGCCCATAGAAAACTTTTGTATCGCTGGTACATGACCCGTCAGAGACTCCAGCGTATATTCCCCAATTCATCCCCGACAAGATGGAGGTGTGCTTCGGATAAAGGCACACTCATACATTTGTGGTGGTCCTGTGGGGGCATTCAGCCCTTCTGGACTATAGTACGTTCTGTCCTTGATACACTGGGCATCCCTACTTCGTATTAACGGTACCTTTCTGTCACTGCTGCTGCTCCCTGAATCCCTGACCTATAGCCAGAAAAAAGTCACTGCTTTGGTTCTACTAGCTGCACGAAACCTTATAACTCAAATATGGAAATCCCTAGACTGCCCTTCCCTGTCCCAGTTACTTGACAAAATATGACTGTTCCACACCTATGAGCGAATGGCGCTCACATGCAGTCAGACAACACAGAGGTTTGGTGAAGCTTGGCGAGCATGGGATAGGGAATACGGACAGGGAGCTGGTGATGGCGGCCTCATTGCTTCCTGCTGATATTTCGACCCCTTTCTTAACTGTAATCCTGGCCTTCGTTCCAAAGGTCAACACCTGAGTTGGTCCTCGAACATCCAACTTATCCATCACCAACATAGTTGTTCTGGATGCTCAACACCATGCCCATACCTCAACAGTAGCCTGGGTACTCCTTACACACATTACGGCAATGCCTTGTTGAACACAGGACCTAACTGGGTATTTGCTTGTACTGACAACTGTACTTTATCAACCATGAGGTCTCCATAAAGGATTCAGGTAGACGGTCTTCTAGTTATACAGATATATATGCTCAATGTACGAATAAATTCAATTGTGTACACCAGATATAGTTGAGGAGGTCTATATTGATCATTTAGGATGTTGATGATGCACAGATGGTGTGATGTACCCTGGCTAACCAATTCCACTTTTACTTTCGGTACCCCTATTTCCTTTATTATACAAAACGAATAAAATTATAAATGTAATATATATATAACTGGATTATTCTGATAAGGGAGACAACGTACCGCTGAGCGCCTCTCTGGAGTATCCAGAACTGAACCAGTTATCAAGCTGCAAAAAATTTCTAACCCACTGCAAACAGTTTAATATTTCTACCTAGCTCAGTCTGTAGCTGTATATGGTGTAATATTTCTACCTAGCTCAGTCTGTAGCTGTATATGGTGTAATATTTCTATCTAGCTCAGTCTGTAGCTGTATATGGTGTAATATTTCTACCTAGCTCAGTCTGTAGCTGTATATGGTGTAATATTTCTACCTAGCTCAGTCTGTAGCTGTATATGGTGTAATATTTCTACCTAGCTCAGGTCTGTGGCTGTATATGGTGTAATATTTCTACCTAGCTCAGTCTGTGGCTGTATATGGTGTAATATTTCTACCTAGCTCAGTCTGTGGCTGTATATGGTGTAATATTTCTACCTAGCTCAGTCTGTGGCTGTATATGGTGTAATATTTCTACCTAGCTCAGTCTGTGGCTGTATATGGTGTAATATTTCTACCAAGCTCAGTCTGTAGCTGTATATGGTGTAATATTTCTATCTAGCTCAGACTGTAGCCGTATATGGTGTAATATTTCTACCTAGCTCAGTCTGTAGCCGTATGTGGTGTAATATTTCTACCTAGCTCAGTCTGTAGCCGTATGTGGTGTAATATTTCTACCTAGCTCAGTCTGTAGCCGTATGTGGTGTAATATTTCTACCTAGCTCAGTCTGTAGCCGTATGTGGTGTAATATTTCTACCTAGCTCAGTCTGTAGCCGTATATGGTGTAATATTTCTACTTAGCTCAGTCTGTAGCCGTATATGGTGTAATATTTCTATCTAGCTCAGTCTGTAGCCGTATATGGTGTAATATTTCTATCTAGCTCAGTCTGTAGCCGTATATGGTGTAATATTTCTATTTAGCTCAGTCTGTAGCCGTATATGGTGTAATATTTCTATCTAGCTCAGTCTGTAGCCGTATATGGTGTAATATTTCTATTTAGCTCAGTCTGTAGCCGTATATGGTGTAATATTTCTATCTAGCTCAGTCTGTAGCCGTATATGGTGTAATATTTCTACGTAGCTCAGGCTGTAGCTGTATATGGTGTAATATTTCTATATAGCTCAGTCTGTAGCTGTATATGGTGTAATATTTCTACCTAGCTCAGTCTGTAGCTGTATATGGTGTAATATTTCTACCTAGCTCAGTCTGTAGCCGTATATGGTGTAATATTTCTATTTAGCTCAGTCTGTAGCTGTATATGGTGTAATATTTCTACCTAGCTCAGTCTGTAGCCGTATATGGTGTAATATTTCTATCTATCTCAGTCTGTAGCTGTATATGGTGTAATATTTCTACCTAGCTCAGTCTGTAGCTGTATATGGTGTAATATTTCTATCTAGCTCAGTCTGTAGCAGTATATGGTGTAATATTTCTACGTAGCTCAGTCTGTAGCTGTATGTGGTGTAATATTTCTACCTAGCTCAGTCTGTAGCTGTATGTGGTGTAATATTTCTATCTAGCTCAGTCTGTAGCTGTATATGGTGTAATATTTATACCTAGCTCAGTCTGTAGCAGTATATGGTGTAATATTTCTATCTAGCTCAGTCTGTAGCTGTATATGGTGTAATATTTCTACCTAGCTCAGTCTGTAGCTGTATATGGTGTAATATTTCTACCTAGCTCAGTCTGTAGCAGTATATGGTGTAATATTTCTACCTAGCTCAGTCTGTAGCTGTATATGGTGTAATATTTCTATCTAGCTCAGTCTGTAGCTGTATGTGGTGTAATATTTCTACCTAGCTCAGTCTGTAGCTGTATGTGGTGTAATATTTCTACCTAGCTCAGTCTGTAGCTGTATATGGTGTAATATTTCTATCTAGCTCAGTCTGTAGCAGTATATGGTGTAATATTTCTATGTAGCTCAGTCTGTAGCTGTATATGGTGTAATATTTCTATCTAGCTCAGTCTGTAGCTGTATATGGTGTAATATTTCTACCTAGCTCAGTCTGTAGCTGTATATGGTGTAATATTTCTACCTAGCTCAGTCTGTAGCAGTATATGGTGTAATATTTCTACCTAGCTCAGTCTGTAGCAGTATATGGTGTAATATTTCTATGTAGCTCAGTCTGTAGCTGTATATGGTGTAATATTTCTATCTAGCTCAGTCTGTAGCTGTATATGGTGTAATATTTCTATGTAGCTCAGTCTGTAGCAGTATATGGTGTAATATTTCTATGTAGCTCAGTCTGTAGCAGTATATGGTGTAATATTTCTATTTAGCTCAGTCTGTAGCTGTATATGGTGTAATATTTCTATGTAGCTCAGTCTGTAGCTGTATATGGTGTAATATTTCTACCTAGCTCAGTCTGTAGCAGTATATGGTGTAATATTTCTATGTAGCTCAGTCTGTAGCTGTATATGGTGTAATATTTCTATCTAGCTCAGTCTGTAGCTGTATATGGTGTAATATTTCTATGTAGCTCAGTCTGTAGCAGTATATGGTGTAATATTTGTATGTAGCTCAGTCTGTAGCAGTATATGGTGTAATATTTCTATTTAGCTCAGTCTGTAGCTGTATATGGTGTAATATTTCTATGTAGCTCAGTCTGTAGCTGTATATGGTGTAATATTTCTACCTAGCTCAGTCTGTAGCTGTATATGGTGTAATATTTCTATGTAGCTCAGTCTGTAGCAGTATATGGTGTAATATTTCTATGTAGCTCAGTCTGTAGCTGTATATGGTGTAATATTTCTATCTAGCTCAGTCTGTAGCTGTATATGGTGTAATATTTCTACCTAGCTCAGTCTGTAGCTGTATATGGTGTAATATTTCTATTTAGCTCAGTCTGTAGCTGTATATGGTGTAATATTTCTATGTAGCTCAGTCTGTAGCTGTATATGGTGTAATATTTCCATCATGCTATATATAACTCATTATACAGCTCTCTGGCTATATGTATTATTATTAGATATTGTGTATATATAGCTCTATATTTAGTATTATGTACACACAGACAATAGACCCTGCCCCTCCCCCTTCTCTCCAGGCTGCTGCCAATCAGCCCCTCCCTGGGCGGGGCTTGTAGTGTGACAGTGGAGAAGCGGGCGGGGCTTGTGGTGTGACAGCTGAGGAGTGGGCGGGGCCTGTGGTGTGACCGTGGAGCGATGGGCGTGGCCTGCGCGGTGGGCGGCTCTGGCTCCCGGCATTGCTGGCGGTGAGGTGCAGGGGCCCCGGGATGGAGGGGCCACACTTGGTGCTTGTCTTCAGCGGGAAGAGGAAATCGGGCAAGGACTATGTGACCGAACTCATCAGGGAGAGGTGAGTGTGAGTGTGAGTGCAGACAGGGAATGAATAGGGGACAATGAGTGTAGGTGATGGAGGGAGGGGGAGTCAGAGTATGAGGGGACACTGAATGGGGGGGTAGGGGAGTCAATGGGGGACACTGAATGGGGGTAGGGGTCAATGGGAACACTGAATGGGGTAAGGGAGTCAATGGGGAACACTGAATGGGGTAGGGGAATGGGGACACTGAATGGGGGCAGGGGGGAGTCAATGGGGACACTGAATGGGAGGTAGGGGAGTCAATGGGGACACTGAATGGGGGTAGGAGTCAATAGGAGACACTGAATGGGGAGTGAGGTCAATGGGGACACTGAATGGGGGTAGGGAGTTAATGGGCACACTGAATGGGGGTAGGGAGTCAATGGGGACACTGAATGGGGATGGGGACACTGAATGGGAGGAGGTGGAGTCAATGGGGACACTGAATGTGGGAGTCAGGTATGAGGGACACTGAATGGGGGTAGGGGAGTCAATGGGGACACTGAATGGGGTAGGGACAATGGGGACACTGAATGGGGAGGTGGAGTCAAAGGGGGACACTGAATGGGGGAGTAGGGGAGTCAATGGGGGACACTGCATGGGGGGATAGGGGAGTCAATAGGGGACACTGAATGGGGAGGTGGAGTCAATGGGGGGTAGGGGAGTCAATGGGGACACTGAATGGGGGGAGGTGGAGTCAATGGGGGACACTGAATGGGGGGGATAGTGGAGTCAATGGGAGACACTGCATGGGGGAGGGGTTGTCAAAGTATGGGCGAGACACTGAATTGGGTGAGTGGAGTCAGTGGGGGACACTGGGGAGGTGGAGGGGAGTCAGTGGGGGGACACTGAATGGGGGGGGTGGAGTCAGCATGGGGGTAGGGGGAATCCAGCAAGTGGAAGTAGTTAGAGTATTGGGGGGCACTGAATGGGGAGTCACAGTTCTGAGACAAAGAATGGAAAGGTTAAATAATTGGGGGACAATTATTATATGTGGGGTCAAATTCTGGGGACATAGAATGGAGGTCATATTGGGGGGCAATGAATGAGTGGGTGTCATATTGTTGGGGAAAATTAATGGAGGTTGTGTTATTGGGGTGGCAATGAATGGGTGGGAGTCATATAACTGGGGGCAAGAATGGGTGGTGTCATATTGTGAGGGACATTACAAGGGGGTCATTATTGGAGGGAAATAAATGATTGGGTGTCATATTATGGGGGCAATGAATGGATCAGAGTCATATTTGAGGGGACAATGAATGGGTGGAAGCCATATTGTGAGGAACAATTAATGGGGTCATTATTGGAAGGCAATAAATTATTGGGTGTCACATTATGGGGGGCAATGAATGGATCAGAGTCATATTTTGGAGGCCAATGAATGAGTGAGAGCCATATTGTGAGGAACAATTGATGGGGGTCATTATTGGAGGGCAATAAATGATTGGGTGTCATATTATGGGGATGAATGGATGGAAGTAATATAGTTGGGGCCAATAATGAATATTGGTCATATTATTGGGGGGTAATGAATGAGTGGGAGTTATATTATTGGGGAGCGATGAATGGATCAGAGTCATATTTTAGGGGACAATGAATAGGTGGGAGCCATATTGTGAGGAACAATTAATGGGGGTCATTATTGGAGGGCAATGAATGGATCGGGGTCATATTGTTGGGGCCAATGAATAGAGGTCATGTTATTGGGGGGTAGTGAATGGATCAGATTTACATTTTGTTTGACAATTAATGGGGTTTATATAATTGTGGGACCAATTAATGGGTGGGGGTCATATTGGGGGCAATGAATGAGTGAGTGTCATATAGTGGGGTCAATAAATGAAGCAGGTTGTCACAATGTTTGGGGTTGTGAATGTGGAGCAAAATGCATACTTTTGTTTTTGCGTCATGTGGATACTGAGTTGGTGGACCGTAAATAGTGCGTTCATAGTATTAGGTGAACTGTGAGTGTGGTGGGTGTGAGAATTAGGAGGATATTGAAGAGTGTTATGGTGATAGAAGGACCTTAGCTATCACAGAATAGGTCGTAACTCTACTTATTGGTAAGTAGGGAAACAAACGATAGGTGTGCACTATAGGTTCTTAGAGTGATTGTAAGGCTGTGTACGTGAAGAGGTGACATTTCAGAATCTGAGAACACGTATAGAATCATCAGGTGACAGGACGAGGTCCAGGAATCGAGAGTGAGTACAGTGTGTTTCTGAGGGTCCAGTCTCCATAAGTAAGCATAGGGAATTTAGAAACATATGATGTGGATGGCGTGAGGTGAGAGTGACCTAATCGCTCACATTATGTACCTTAGGTTGGGTCCTGACACCTGTGCTGTTCTGCGACTGTCCGGGCCCCTGAAAGAGCAATATGCCCAGGTGAGTGCCTGAGGGATTTATTTTTTCTGGAATGTAGGTAACCTGGCCAGAAAAAAATATATAATCTTGTCTTTTAATTAATACTGTGTAGAAGGGAACAAGCCATTATGTGACCATGCAATTAGTGCTTAAGTGCTACAATTTTAGTAATTGTAAGGGTAGTTCCATTTGTTTCTATGGTAACTGCTTCTCATTTAGCACCTATCTCCGGAATTTCTTTGTGTCCATATCTTACAGGAGTCATGGACTTCCTAAAATATGGGTTAAAGAAACATTACAGTGAATACATTTGAAGATTAGATTGTTCCATTTTCCTCATGGATTTAAATGTTGTCTGGTTCTCTTCCTCAACATAGGAGAAAGGCCTGGATTTCCAGCGCCTGCTGGATGCTAGCGGATACAAAGAGAAATACAGAGCAGACATGATCGCCTGGGGAGAGGAACGGAGGAATGCTGACCCAGGATTCTTCTGTAGGATTATTATACAAGGAGTAACACAACCGGTTTGGGTGAGTGGGTCAAGTGACCGGAGGGGATGCTAAAGGTTCAGAGTGTTCAGTCTGCCTGTGTGGGTATGTGGCCAGGAATTTTGCCTGCCCAGTTTTAATTTAATACCTGAGAGATGCACCTGGGCTGGGTGAGTGGGCTTGACTTCAGAGGGTAACACAACCTGTTTGGTTCAGTTCTTGTTGGCTCAGGGATTTTATCTGTAGTCCTGGGGAGGTGGCACAAGAGAATTGGCATAATTAGTATGCTTGAATAGCATAGTGTCCTATCAGAATTGAGAGAGAGAGAGAGGTGCCAGTCTGGGTGAATAGGCGTTGAATTAGTGTGTGTCACAACCAGTCTTGGTAAGTGATTGTTGAGTTGACATACCCAATCTGGATGAGTTAGTGTTTTAGAACAGGGGTGGTAAAACTGGTCAGTGTGAGTGTTTGCAAGGTTTTGGATAGAAACATCTTGTTGACTGGAAGTGATAGAGGCTTCAAAAAAATATTTTGGTTACCTGTACTCGAAAAACAATGCATTCATTTTTGAAAGCTTTGTTTACATTCTTTTTTTCTTGAGACATATAATTTAAATTTTCATATACCATTGTGTTTATGTTGAAAAACTGCAGAGGGAGAGTTTGTCTGAACACTCCTGACAAATGGCTTTTCTATCCCACAGATTGTTAGTGATGCTCGGCGAAAGTCTGATATAGACTGGTTTCTCTCTTGCTATGGTGCTGTCACACAAACTGTCCGCGTTGTAGCCTCTGAAGAGACCAGGAAAGCCAGAGGTTGGATTTATACACCGGGTGAGTGCTCAAAATATTGTAGTCACAGCAATGGCCTTTATGTCAACAATCAGATTGGACCAGTGATTTAAGCTAAAGTCCCAATATCTTTATCCATGCTGTGCGACATCATGATAACTAAAGAAAATCTGATGCCCGTAACATAAAACATCTTCTATTTTTTTTATTATATTCTAGACATTGACGATGCAGACTCAGAGTGTGGCCTGGATCAGGGAACATCCTTTAACTGGGTCATTACTAACAATGGCGATCAGGAATCCTTGGACGAGCAGCTGCACAGGCTAATGGACTTTATTCACAGCAAGCTAGATTCGTCCGTTTGATGGGTAGGATTGTTCTGGCCGTGTTATAACCGCAAAACTACGTTGACAGGCCCGCGGCGATCGTCCTGACAGTTTGCATGCTGTGTCCAGAGATATAATAATCACAATCACTCTTCAGGTGTGAGAAACACCTCTCCACCACTTCCACTTTTAATTTATTTGTTAATTTATGGGTGAAATCACCAAATGCAGATTGGTTTTCCGTCAGGTGGACTATCCTAAAATAGTGCCTCCTTATCAGTGACAGTTATCGGTGTAACTATTTATTTCTTGGTTATTACAGTTACATCTCTATATAAAGTACCAAATAATAAGGAAAGATGTCTCAAACCATAATAAAGCTAATTTTTGGTGCTCACTTTTTGAAACGACATAAATCATTGATTGCTTTTGACGTGCTCTCATTCACACCAGTGTTAATTTTGGCGGCAAATTTCAGTTTAGTTTTAGCCATAGTTTTTTTGACTAAAACGTCATTTTAGTTTTAGTCGTATTTTAGTCATCTGAATTGTATGTTTTGGTCGACTAATCTAAAATCTAATGGGTTTCGTTAAAGCCTCTGTCTATTTCTCCTTCCCCAGCCCCTCTGTGTCTCTTTGTGTACTCTTAGCCCCTCTATGTCTCTCTTTGCCAAGCCCTGGTCTGTCTCTTTTGCCCCTTCCACAGCCCCTCTGTGCAGTGTTAATTATTGCTGCAAATTACAATTAGGTTTAGTCATAGTCTTTTGACTAAAACGCCATTTTAGTTTTAGTCGTATTTTAGTCATCTGAATTGTTTAAGTTTAGTTTAAGTCGACAAAATGAACACCGATTTTACACACACAAGCCATGAAAATATGGGATTCAATATAAATAATAGTTGTGGGATAAACTTTCACAACAGATGCCAATCAAATGTTCTTGCTGTTTGCCCTTTTTTTAAGTTTGCCCCATATATTTGTATGTGATGTGTAGAGGAGATCATGGGAATAGCTGGCAATAATATTCCCTTCTTTGCAGACCTTTGGGATCTGTTCCATTGCCAGTTGAAAAATAACACTCTAACCACCATAACTACTACAGCTCACTGGATATGTTGCCAGCATGCCCTTTGCGTGACAAATACTTCTGTGTCAAACTGTTTTCAACTGGTTTGCACCAATAAAAGGTTCCCCAGCACTTGTGGTCCAGCCCCTCTATTGCTTGGCATACTTTTAGCGCAGATATTAGATTTCTAAAATACCAATATTCATTTTGCCATATTTTAAAGGGCATTCATTGGCTGAGTGTGTCAGCTGACGTAAGCCAATGAATGCACCTATTTGATATAGCTAATGCAGAAGTGTCTCTTCTACAATAGCAATATGTTGAGTGAGCTTTAGACCACAGTCACTTAGGATCCGAAACCACTTGGTTTTATTAAAAGCGATTAAAAAAAACTGTTCGATGCAGAACTGGAGGATAGTGCTCACACCATAACCACTACAGTGTGCTTACAGCATCTTTTAAGGACAATGTTTCTTTTCTTTTTCTTTCTTAATACATTACAATTGTTTTAAAGAACATTTACAGGTTTTCTACGTAAACATAATTTTTTTTATTAATTTGTCTATAATTTTTTTTCTTTTCAATAAAATGTTTTTCTTTATATTTGTGTAAGAGTTTACTAAAATTTATATTGTCTACCAGCAAGCAGTTGCTGAATATGGGGCATATTTATTTTCTTATGTTTTGCCATTAATACCCGTTAATACATAATTACTACTAGCATTTATTTAATTCTCATTTTATATAATTGTATGTTAGAATTGGAAGAAAGAGAGAGGGGCTATGGGGTGGGGAAACCATCACCACTACCCCACAAAAAGGTTACAGAGATTCAAGGGGCGTAACCCCACAATATATATAGTAAAAAAGAGACGAAAAATGTGGAAGACAGTCCACTCATAAAAAAGTGGGTGGAATGCCTAGCCTCATTCAAAGTACCTCATAATGTAAATAGTCACATAGAAGAGGATAAACAACCTTTATTAGAAAAAAATGCTAAAATGGTATATAGTCCAAATACTATTACCATACACTAAAATAGTGTATTGATTATAAGTTAACCACCAAATTTGTAAAAGCCTGGGAGAGGCTAATCCTGCAAGGTATGTTTGACTTAATAAAGGTGTAAAAATACACCTAAAATAATAAATGGGTAACAAAGCAGGTTAGTCTAAATCCATTCTAGGAAAGGACCCAGCTGGGTAATTGGATAGAAAAAGGATAGTCTTAGAGCAGTGTCTGAGAGAATCTGGAAAGGGCAGGGTTAATAGCAACTAATGGGGCGCGCCCAAACTAATATCAAGTAGCTTATACTAAACAGAAAAGGAGCTAATACCCCACAAAGAGAGGAAAGATAGAACCCCCCCCCTCTGAGTCACCCTAAAAAACTAACTATCCTAAAAGAAACGGCAAAACTAACTGCTGCTTCGTGGCAGCCTATCCAAATCCCTAAGTCTGTATCAGGAGAAAATATAGGCGCAAACACATGCGCTGTGGAAACCCAGGTAAATGAAAGATGAGAGTAAAGAAAATCAATTGAGTATAATAGCATCGGCTAGAAAATATCTCGACGCACGTTTCGGCGTTTTAGATACGCCTTTGTCAAGAGCTCCTAAAAAACTGACTATCCTAAAAGAAACGGCAAAACTAACTGCTGCTTCGTGGCAGCCTATCCAAATCCCTAAGTCTGTATCAGGAGAAAATATAGGCGCAAACACATGCGCTGTGGAAACCCAGGTAAATGAAAGATGAGAGTAAAGAAAATTGCCTTTGTCGAGCTTTTTCTCTTAGGATAGTTTTTTTAGGGTGACTCAAGGGGGGGGGGGGGTTCTATCTTTCCTCTCTTTATGGGGTATTAGCTCCTTTTCTCTTTAGTATAAGCTACTCGATATCAGTTTGGGCGCGCCCCATTAGTTGCTATTAACCCTGCCCTTTCCAGATTCTCTCAGACACTGCTCTAAGACTATTCTTTTTCTATCCAATTACCCAGTTCGTCCTTTCCTAGAATGGATTTAGACTAACCTGCTTTGTTACCCATTTATTATTTTAGGTGTATTTTTACACCTTTATTAAGTCAAACATACCTTGCAGGATTAGCCTCTCCCAGGCTTTTACAAATTTGGTGGTTAACTTATAATCAATACACTATTTTAGTGTATGGTAATAGTATTTGGACTATATACCATTTTAGCATTTTTTTCTAATAAAGGTTGTTTATCCTCTTCTATGTGACTATTTACATTATGAGGTACTTTAAATGAGGCTAGGCATTCCACCCACTTTTTTATAATTGTATGTTATCTAGATGAATGCATCTGTTTCAGAGTCTAATTGTCTTAAAACATATTATTTTCTATTTTTTATAATATTAACAATAATGTCCCTAGTTCTGAATGTGTTTATCCCTGTAGCTAAGAACATAGGAAACAACATTAAATTTCATTCAGCGCTTTCAAGGCTAAGAAAAGGGTTTTTTTTACTGTAAGAACACCAAGGATGTGGAATTCTCTGCCTGAAGAAGTGGTTTTATCAGAGTCCATACAGATGTTTAGACAGCAACTAGTTGCATACTTCCAAAAACATTATTCAATGATATAATTTTTCAGCTGTAGGGTAATAGCTTCTTGTATCCAAGGATAAATCTGCCATTCTGGGGTCAAGAGGGAGTTTTTTTTCCCAAGTTTGTTGCAAAATTGCAAGTGCTTCAAACTGGGTTGTTTGATCTTCTTTTGGAACAACAACAAAAACCAAATGTGAGGAAGGTTGAACTTGATGGACACATGTCTCTTTTCAGCCTATGTAACTATGTAATAAGGTAGTGTCATGTATAGAAAGTACCTACATTCTATTGATGAAAAGATATTTGCATTATGATATACAATGCTAACACCTGGGGTGTAGTTTTGTGTACAGTTTTTCAAACTGGGAGTTATAGAACTGGATAATCTGCATACCTACAATAAAATCAACGAGGGAACATAAGATCTTATCAAAATCAAAGATACAGAATGTTCTCCTTTATCAAATTCAACAGACTCATTTTAAAAGTTTTTTTTTTTTGTCAAAGCAGGATAATCAGGGCTATAATTATTTTTGGGGACTTGAACCGCTTGTTGTAGGAAAAATGTGATTGCTATTTTGAAGTCTAGAAAGACTACATGATTGCATCAATTTGGGTTTTATTTTGCCTTCTGTTGAATCAATATCAGATTCCAAGATGTGTAAAACACTAAACATGATGCACTTGATATTTTGTTATTTTATTTTTTTTTACTTCTATTATCTACCTAGTACACAACAGATATATCACATATGTATAAATATTTGCAGGGAGTATTTCTTTATTGCAAGTGCTTTTATAGATCTCTTCTCTAACATTATACAGGGTGGGCCAAAATTCAGAGTAGGATTTGACAGGCAAATAACTTTTTTGTTAGTACATCAATTTTGTTGTAGCAGGTACATATTATAACTGAGTCCTGGGAGATTCATCATGAGTTATTTTAAATAAGGAACAAAGAATTAGCCAGAGAAAACAATTTATGTATCAACTCATTATGTGTGACAAAGCTCATTTTAATTTAAATGGGTTAGTCAATAAGCAAAACTGTTCTTTCTGGGGTACAGAAAATCCATGGATAATTCATCAGCTACCAAAAGCACTGTCTGGTGCAGGGTGACCTCACAGGAAGTTATCAGGCATAAATTTGAGCGCTAGTGCATGAAACATTGACTAATATTATGGACAATGCAATCGCAAGAGACAGCCTTTGCGAAGCAACAAAATGGAGCTCATTTAAAAGAGGTCTACTTCCATGCCTAGTCAAACAAAGGACCACTATAATCACCCAGACCACTTCAGCTTAATGAAGTGGTCTGGGTGCCAGGTCCCCCAGGTTTTAACTCTTCAGATGTAAACATAGCAGTTAGAGGCGCTTCTGCGATGCTCAATGCGAAAATCGCATTGAGCATGCAGAACGTCCATAGGAAAGCATTGAGTAATGCTTTCCTATGGGCGGTTTGAATGCGCGCGCGGCTCTAGCCGTGCATGCGCACTCGGCTCCACTCGGGAGCTGACGTCGGAGGGGGAGGAGAGGTCACCGGCGCTGGATAAAGGTAAGTGGCTGAAAGGGTTTTAACCATTCAGCCCAGCAGGAGGGGGGCCCTAAGGACTGGCACTATAATGGTCTTTTAAGCATTCATTGTATGTAATATCATTGAAATTGGTTCATTAATAAATACATTTTTTTAAAAGATATTGACCCCTCCTACCATACTCTGGATTTTGTTCAACCCTGGCAGTCCAAGATGGGACTGTTCAATGCCTAAACTATCTACAAAGAACATGAAAATCTGCACTCTATACTTAAAGGAACATGCCAGCCTTCATAACATACAGTATTGTAATGGCTGTGATGGTGAGAATGCCCTGGCTCCCCATATTGTAAGTAGTTAAATCATTTTATAATGGTTTGACTAATTATCTGAGGTCCACCATGAACAACTGGAGCCCTGAAGCTTTGAGCATTATAATCTGGAGAACTGACTCCTAAAGATAAAAATCCTCACCCAGCCATTACTTCAACTGACTCCAAGCTCACATACTATTTTGGGTCCTCACCTAGTCTCGTGTCCTACCACTTCTCCTCCTGCCCATGGCTCTGCATTCTCGGTCAGGCCCTTACAGAAACCCTGGCATTTCTCTGACCATCAACTCGTTTTTCCCAGTCAGTTCTTTACCAGTCTCTGCCTCATATTTCTCTTTGCCTTCACTCCCTCATGCTTCTCTTCTCCCATACATTATGACCTGCATCTGTCCCTCATCCAGCCAAGCATGTCTCTCTCTCTTTCCTTACCCCATGTTATAAATTCCATTTTACGCATGGATATTCACCAATGGGCTAATTCACCAAAAAACTAATTGTAAGAAAACTCAAACGGCAAACTTTAGCGGAGTTAGAGATCATCTATTTTAGCCAAAATGTTGCTGTGTTTTACATCCACAACAATTAAGACCTGGGGGAAATAAACCCTTCAAAGCTTCTCTGTCACATTCTGGGGTCTTTGCATCATTTGCAAAGACCCCGATATTGACGTCTTTGCTGCTCGGCGGCCATGCGGAAGGTGCATTTTACTTACCTGAAACAGTCCCTAATGGCGGCTGCCATTTACATTGGTTGGAACCTTTTTAGCAACTGGCATTTCACCTGCCAGGAGCCCAAGTCAGTTCTGTAAGGAGAGTACAACACTGAAGCCTATGGAGGATCTCACATGACTGTATATATGGGAGACAACACAGATGGTGCTTTGCCATGACAATACTTGACAAAGGTAGGTCCAACATATGTGAAACAGAGGGGAAACATATAAGGCACCATAGTCCCTACTTTGTTTTATGTGTTTTTGGAGAAATAGATTAAGGGACAAATTCCAGTCCATAGGGTGCCAGAGCCTGAGGTGTCAGGAACTCACATTTTTGGTTCAATTACCCATCCAGGAATCATTCCCCATGTTTTAGATTTCTGCTAATCTGCTCTTTGAAATTCACTTTGAATTCCCCCCAGTTGCAGCCATTAGTTTCCATGTGTGAGCCTGCTATGACTGGCCTGCTGCCTCCTGTCACTTTGTCAGACTGTGTTCTAACCACGTGATCTGGCTGGAGGGTTAGAATTCACTTCCGCGTCACGTGACAGCAAGACGTCCGCTGGTGATCACATGAGGCGTGGCTTACCACGTGTTTTCTTGCGTCAACCCGGCCCCGCCCCCCTGAAGGACGCTCAGTGCGCATGCGCAAAGGAGGCGGTCGGGCCAAGACGGTTTGTGGCAGAGACACCGGGAGCAGCGAGTGCGAGCAAGGGACCCCGGGAACTGCCGCTCTACAGTAACAAAGGACACAGGACATTGGGCCCTCACAGGAAGTGCAGCCCCCAGGTGCCTCAGGGACTCCCAGCAACTACAGAGGGGCCCTAAACCACAGCCTGTGAGAGCAGAGAGGGGCCCTAAACCACAGCCTGTGAGAGCAGAGAGGGGCCCTAAACCACAGCCTGTGAGAGCAGAGAGGGGCCCTAAACCACAGCCTGTGAGAGCAGAGAGGGGCCCTAAACCACAGCCTGTGAGAGCAGAGAGGGGCCCTAAACCACAGCCTGTGAGAGCAGAGAGGGGCCCTAAACCACAGCCTGTGAGAGCAGAGAGGGGCCCTAAACCACAGCCTGTGAGAGCAGAGAGGGGCCCTAAACCACAGCCTGTGAGAGCAGAGAGGGGCCCTAAACCACAGCCTGTGAGAGCAGAGAGGGGCCCTAAACCACAGCCTGTGAGAACAGAGAGGGGCCCTAAACCACAGCCTGTGAGAGCAGAGAGGGGCCCTAAAACAAATCCTACAGAGTTAGAGGACTCCCAGAACCCAAGGAACAGAGAGGGGACACAGAGTACTCCAACTTAGAGCTACAAAGTGGGGCCTTAAAGAGTGACTGCAGAACACCCCTTGTGTCAGGGAGAGAAGTGACCCCAGAGGTCCCCAATGTGAAGCAAGAAAGAGTCCCTCAAAAATCACACTGTAAAGTATCATAGAGAATCTTGGAGCCACCCCATAGTAATCGGCTAAAAGGAGGAATCCCAGAGCACCCACAGTAACCGGCTAAAAGGAGGAATCCCAGAGCAACCACGGTAACCGGCTGAAAGGAGGAATCCCAGAGCACACACGGTAACAGTCTGAAAGGAGGAATCCCAGAGCACCCACGGTAACAGTCTGAAAGGAGGAATCCCAGAGCACCCACGGTAACAGTCTGAAAGGAGGAATCCCAGAGCACCCACGGTAACTGGCTGAAAGGAGGAATCCCAGAGCACCCACGGTAACCGGCTTAAAGGAGGAATCCCAGAGCACCCACAGTAACCGGCTTAAAGGAGGAATCCCAGAGCACCCACGGTAACCGTCTGAAAGGAGGAATCTCAGAGCACCCACGGTAACTGGCTGAAAGGAGGAATCCCAGAGCACCCCACGGTAACCGGCTGAAAGGAGGGATCCCATAGCACCCACGGTAACCGGCTGAAAGGAGGGATCCCAGAGCACCCACGGTAACCGGCTGAAAGGAGGAATCCCAGAGCACCCACGGTAACCGGCTGAAAGGAGGGATCCCATAGCACCCACGCTAACCGGCTGAAAGGAGGGATCCCATAGCACCCCACGGTAACCGGCTAACAGGAGGGATCCAGAGCATCCACAGTAACTGGCTTAAAGAAGGGATTCCAGATCACCCACCGTAACCGGCAGAAAGGAGGGATCCCAGAACACCCATGGTAACCGGCTAAACGAAGAGTCCAAGAGCACCTACACTATTTTAGATTATAAGTGGGGTCCCCAGAGATCCTACACCAATCAACAGAGACAAGGTGTCTCAGAGCACACTAACTCTTAGCAAGGAGTAGTCCCAAAGCATCACAGAGTGTCCTAAGTATTTGCAAGAAAGACTGACTAAACAGCACTCCAAGTCAGCAGTGACTGGTCCAGTGCACCCCAAGGTAAAGCATCAGAGAAGGGTCTCCGAGTACTTATACTAGAAGATTAAACACTCCTTTATTTACAAAGTTTTAATTCTTGGAACACATCCTGAATACAGAATACACCTGCAGACCCCAATTCTGATCTCATGTTTACAGCGCAGTAGATTGTAATTGAAGTACAGGACTTGGCTACATGTTCAGAACTTAATAATCTAGGAGGCTCCAAGTCAAGAACAGTGACACTAACCCTTTGTATACTCATAAAAGCAAGTCTGAGTATGTTGGGATCGCACACAGCATTCCTGGAGTAAGTGACCTGGGGCAGTCCATCAACCTCTGAGCTAGCATGGCATCTGCGATTTCTGAAACAATGAGTGGCACTAGCCCAGGTAAGTCGCTGATCCAGGTATTGTAGCAATGATAATAGGTTAAAATGTTGCAACGAGGCTTACTTATATGAAAGAAAGGGATAGCAGAAGATGATTTGATCCTGGCTTGAAAACAAAAGTCTTTTAGACAATCAGTAATGCAGAAAATTATGGAACTTTAAGTTTTGCTTCTGGGGATGCCAGAATCAGTTCCTCATATTTTAAATTCCGCGATTCTATCATGCCTTTTGCAGAGATTTGTAGTTCTTAACGCCAGAATCAGGCCAAATATTTGTTCTACTTAAATTGGAGTGGATCATTACGTGTAAAAATGCACATCATATTGACCAAGCCCCAGGCAATTTCCCACTTTAAAAACATTCACTATATGCAGAGTAATTTCACTGCTTCCTTATAAGGAAGCTCACATTTTTCTTTTATGGCCTTTTAAGATAAGGAAGCACTTTAGGCACCATACCCACTGCAGTTTACTGTAGTGGTTATTGTGCAAGGAGTCTTTTGGTTCTCAGTTCTGCTTTTTCCTCAGTACCCAAAGCTTTGGTCCTTCTCCCACTGCTCCGTGGATGAACATGATCTGTTTCAAAGTAATCCAGACTTGGATAGTAGTGATAGTTTGCAAGTGCCCAGAATTTAAACCTGCCTAAGTTAGGAAACATAATGCGGAAGTTGAGGGTCCTGAAAACCTAGGACATCCAGAGAAAAGTTCCATTGGTTTTCATGGTGACTGCTCTGCTTATAAAAATTGCACCAACTTGTCTGTTAACAATACCTTATAAAAATCGCCCCCATTGCCTTCACATTGCAGATGTTAGTGTGAAATTCATGACACTATGTCTCAAATGGCCTCTCAAAGAGATCTGTTATTTACCATAGAAAAATGTGTTCTATGGGGGAAGGGAAGCTCCTTCATACAAAAGAGCTTACATCTGACCCTCACACAAAGGATTTGATCACCATTCAGTGCTGTGCTTAATCAGTCATCCATTTATGTGAGATAGACTGTCTGTCCTAAGTCCAACGGTTCTAAAATCATATTTACTAACCGACCTGATAAAATAGTTCTGTACATAGAATTATTAAAATGTGTGTATATAGTGCAAACGGGTATAATGCTAACACTAGAGGAGGTACAGTAAGCGCTGTACATAAACTCACATTTTTAGTTAAAGGAGACTCGTCGTCTTCCCTTTTACTAACATTCTGCATATATTGCTTCTGAAGCTATCACTGAGGTAAAGAGTGCAGGAGATAGGCGTTACGTTTTTCATGAGTCAGTCTGGTTCTTGTGCTGTCCAGGCGTACACACTTAGGCAATTCTTTCATGGTGCCTTATGCACACACATGCCCTCTTTCCACCCGTGTGCGGGATCATCAGGGTAAAAAAGATCATTTGTTATTCTATGCCGAGCTTTGAGTTGACAACTTGACTTATTGTGTGTACAGAATATGTATACATAATGTTGATAGGAGGAACGCCAGCCGTTGTGCTTACTTAAAATCCATGATGAGAAGGGATATTCTTAAGCTATGTTAATAAAATAGGTGAATCGGTTTTAAAAATGTTTTCTGTTTTGTTTGGGAATCAGGTGAACACCCATCCCGTAATCCTTATGTTTGTGTAGTAATTCCTGGAATAATTACTACTTGACCTGTACGTGGGAGTCACTTGCGTGCACTGCACATTGTCATTGCGAACATGGTAACAGCATGACACTTCCCAAACATGTCACAGACCAAGCTCTCTCAAAGCACAGCCTGGAATCTGTATTTGCAGTGGAATCTTTTCTCTCTAGAATACAGATTTTGTTGATATTTGGACTAAAGTATCTAATTCAGAAACCTGCTCAACTCTGCTTAAGTAACAGTTTCTCTGAATTTTGCAGTGTACATTTAAACTCCCAGCACTGATTTATTCACTAGACCATTATTTGTGTTGTGCATCATTACAAAGAGCTCTCCACCATAAGGACAATCATTGCTTTATGTTTGTTGAAATTCAGAGTGGAAAATGGACCATCTGTAGGATGGCTGCACTGTTTACAGTAACTTTGTGCTTCTTTGTAGACATTACATGGGTTTTAAGTATACAAACGTCCAATCCCTTGGGTTTTGAAATCTGATCTCTGAGTAAATATTAGCGTAGTTGATATTGCAATCCTATGACCCTTGTAAATAATGTGATTGATAACTATTGTTATTTTTGGTGTTGGGTAGATGATCCACCCAACGCTTATCAATTAGAAATCTTGTATCTATGGAGAAGCTATAAACGTTTGGTAACTTGTTTTGGAAACTTAATTGAATATCCCTGTAATGTCCCCCAGAATACATTTTATTTTGATTCTAAGAATACAGTGCACAAAGATGTTCTTTTTGGGAACATGTTCGTGGATCAGAGCTGGTGTAATCTTCCACTTAATATCTTGCTTAGCAACAGAGTCCAACATAGCATCTCATCTCAGCTTTTATGCGATTACACTGGTAATGGGGCAGGGAATGAAAGGCAACATTATGGATCCTTGTGAGGATGTGATGCTTTGCAGCAGCGATTATCTGACAGATTAAGGGGATTGTTGACGAGCTGTGGTTATCTTCTGTCACAGCTCGATATTTTTCCATGGATTGTGATAGCAACAAATGCTGTTGCTATGGCAAGTCCCCAGCCACATACCCTGCATTCTTCCTGTTGTTTGAAGGTTTCAGTAATCAGAGTCCATACACCCTCTTACATCTACTGCCCAGGACTTTCCTAGCTTAAAAAATACATTCTGCTTCTTCAGGGAGTGACTTGGGCCTTGTTGGTAATTGTGTTTATTTTACAATAAAAATTTTTTTGCATTGGAAACCTGAGCACTGCCTGCCCCACCTAGGCTGTCGGCTATAACGTCACACGTGATGGGTATCACAGTGTCATGTCTGTGTACATACGTACACGTTAAGGTATGAGAGCGCTTGACAATGTTACATAGTTTTTGCAATACTCAGACACGTATCCTGGCTGGGTTGAGCCTGCCTCTAAGCAGGTTGGCTTAGTTTATAGCATATGGGAACTTGAAAATACCACAGTCCTCCACAGAAAAACAGGCATTTTATTAGCATTTCAAAAAGCATGAAAAAATAAGCACACTAAAAACAATTTCATATTAAACAATTTCATTTTAAATAGATATTAAAAAAAGATCCGCTAATAATGTCTACATCTACAGATCCTGAGCCAAATAAGAGGACTTTGGGGACTCCCGAATTTTGTCCTAAATGCCTTTGTCAAGACATACTTTGATTCTATCTGTAATGTTAATATAATGTGTCTTTTACACATGTTACATTCATTAAAGGGGCAATTTAAGCAGAGCTTAAAAATTCCTACTAGCCATTGGCAAGTCAAAATTCAGAATTCAAACAGAAAACACAACAGTGTGGTTACAGGCGCTTAGTTTGTGATTATTTGGTAATGAATCTGTGTAGCAGCTAGGAAGACACTTTGTGAACACTCCAAACAGCCCACCAACAATAGAAAATTCACAAAGAAGCACTCAACGTTTAGGTGAAAAAAAAATAATACATATAGTGTATAACTGTAAGCAAATAGTGGATGTATTATCAAAGGTGATAGAACCTTTCCGGGTAAGTAGTCAAACCTGTAGTTGTTATAGTGCCAGCAGTGTGATGGCACCCTGTATGCCCCTCTCCCCCATGTTTATAAACACATGACTACTTACCCACCACATGCCGCTTTACACTTCCTTTTTGCTGGAAGGAGAGCCAGAAACCACCTCTTAGGAGCCTTGGCTTTTGTGATATTTGAAAGGGGGTGCCAGGGCACTACTCGCACTATAACCACTACATAGTACAGCAGTGCTTATGCTTCTTGGAGTGTTCCTTTACTTTTATCATTACAATGTATTGTAGTGGTTATAGGGGACTTAGTCTTTGGATACAGGTAATACTTTTATTTTTGTTTTGTCAAATCCTAAGTATCTATAGGTCCTAGAGTCCATGGAACTACAGCTAGTAGAATCACTGTGTGCATCCTTATTGTTGGTGTTCCTTGCCTGTTAATAATGCCACATTCTAATTTTCCTTCCTATAACGTTTAATGACTTTCTGTCCAGTGGGTGGATTTGGCGTATCTGTGTGAGGAAACAGCTAACGTTTTGTTCTGGAGTCTTACAGAAGGCTTGGATGAGAGCCGCTGTCCAGGCTTTTAATAGCTCAGTGCTTGGTCATGGATATGTTACTGACTGTGTAGTTACAGGGAAGTACAAATCCAGTCTCCTCCTCCTATTTTTCTTTATTCATACTGCTTATCTTGGGATATTCCATCCAGCACAAACAGATGTACACATGGGGATACACTGTGTGTATGTAGTGGATCTGTTTATTGTTCCTCATTAAGACATTCATTTGTCTTCCATGTGTCCTGACCTCTGCCTCTTGTTTATAATCCTGTGGTTGGTGCCGAAAGTGCCCTTCTTTGGTAATACTGTGACCTTTGCCAAAGTGCTACTATCCCTTTGTAATGTTGTGGCTGTTTATCTTTTCATGACAATAAGAACAAAAAATAGATGTATGCCCTTAAAATAACAGCAATACAAGAATATGCAAGTATGTAATAGTTTATTATTGTGACTACAGTGTAATAAACAAAGGCACAAAATGCATCTTTGCCATGACAATTGCCCAACATATAATTATTATTACTTTGTTTGAAATTAGAGAACATGGCACTCTGCCTACACTATAAAGACCTGCTCAATGATGCCCCATAGTCCCCCTTCAATTTATAAATAGTCCCCCTTCATTTGCATTATCCCTCCTGGAACATCAACCCTGTTACATCTTTGTAACATGATGTATTCCATGTACTTGAGATTCACTTTACGGCCATTTGTCCGAAATAGAGTGCAGCCCTCTCAACACAGAGCACCCAGAGGTGTGTAATTTGTGAGCAGTGTTCTTACGCATTGAAAATAAACTGGACACTGCAGGTTAATGTAGTGGATCAGGTGTCAAAGGGTTGTCCCTGCATTCTTAGCACTTGAAACACCGCCTTATCAGAGAAAAGGCAGTGTTTACACTGCCTAGTAACTCCTTTAGTGACAGTGTGCAACACCTACATTCAGCATCTCCACGCTCTGCATGAGACGCTGAACACTGCCCGTAGAGATGCATTGATTCAGTGCATCTCTATGAGGAGATGCTGATTGGAGTAGCACAGCATTTTGCTGCGCATGCGCAATAGCGTCCCAATGTTTTCCTATGGGAAAGCATTGAATTGTCTGAGATCCTCAAGATTGATGATCTCAGCCATGGAGGCGGGACCAGCCATGGCGAGACTGGTGTGGTAAAAACAGTAAGTAAAGTAACTTTTATCTCAATTATGTATTCCAGCACATAGGAATACGTTTGTATTTCTGACACTACATAGGGTTCCTTTAACCACTGCTACTGTATGGTTATTGAGTGAGATTTAAATAGAATGTGACTGGTTTGTCAATGTTTTTGTTCCAGCATTGTGTTGTGTATTGCCTATGTAGCGTCGCCTACATTTCAAGCACGCCACTTAACAAATATATTACATCACATGTGAAATAAAGTTTCTGGGCAAACCTTTTACCTGTCCTCTCCTAAAATGAGTAATGTATTGTCCCTTGGTAAAAGAAATGTGATCGATAACACGGAAAATTCCCTGCTTGTGATTTACTTAAAAGGAAATGTAACAAATAGGTGTGATAGACTGTGTTTTGAAAGCAACAATGAGTCGAAATCCCTATATTGTTTCAGCAATGAATAGTTTTTATATTTATTTTGCAGAATGCGAGCGATCACAGTTTCACGTGTAGATTTATGTTTACTGGGTGTTGAACACTGATTTAGAAACTTGTTTTAAAGAGAAAAATGTTTTTAAGTGTGGTAGCTTAGTGCAAATGAGCAATATTCTCAGAAAAGGGAACTTGCTTTCTACATGTTAAACCACCATTGATTTGGTCGATGATATCAAGGTTTCTAAAAACTATCTGCCGCCTTGCACAGGTGGAACACAGCGGAGTTTGCTGTTAACATTTGGTCTATAGATAATTGCTCTGACAAATGAAAATTTTTGTATTTAATTCCGAATAAAATAGACTTATTGCTCATTATAAGCCGCTACAAACATGATGAATGTTCTAAATGCTAGAGAGGTTTTAATGATTTATTATACTTCCCAATCAAGTTAAAGGAAGTCAGAATGTACATGACGTTCAACTATGCAGGACAATTACCCAATTTAGATTCTACTTTTTAAGCCTTGGCTCAGTATTTGCCCTCCTAAATCACATCACATGCAGATCATCAACCTATTGTTTCTGTAACATTTAATTGTCTTATTTATTGTAACATGGCTCTCTTTGTAAACCGCTGAGGAGTAAGTTGGCGCTATATAAATTTATAATCGCAATCGATCATATTTGTCTTTGCTCTTTGTGATTTCCCCGGCAGTACGCAGGGCTTAGCTCATTGACTGAGAGAAAAATATACTACTGTGTAGAAGGATTATTGGATATCTGGAATGTTTTTACAGTGGGCATAATAAAGATAAACCGTGAAATAGACCAGTTAGTAGATATCTGTGAGTTTTATGTATTTTATTTTTTAGAATTCGAGACTAGATGGGCTGCCTGCCGATCTGTTACCAAAGCGTGTCTGTGAGATTTCATGATTGATTACCAGATTGCTTAGGGTCATATGCTTATCTCTTGTAACAATATTGCTTCTTGAGTATCATTGACCATGGCCTCCAGTGAACTGCTAACTGTCTCTTCTGTTTTATCCAATGACAGGCCATAACACTACAGCTAAAGTTCATGTTAACATAGAAACTTAGAATGTGACAGCAGATAAGAACCATTCGGCCCATCTAGTCTGCCCAATTTTAAAAATACTTTTATTAGTCCCTGGCCTTATCTTATAGTTCAGATAGCATTATGCATATCCCAAAAAAAAATTCCCTCATGTTTTACCAAATCTTGTTCTGAGCTGTCGAATGACTCTCTAATGACACTGTCAGAGCTTTACTTACACCGCCGCCAACAAGGTGCATTTTCTCTGCACATACATATTCCAAGCACTATGAAAACAGAGGTGGTCATGGTGTTTGGAGAAACCCTTTAGTAATCCTGTTTTAGCACGTTTTTCTTATGTTTAAATTCGCTCGCAACTTGTTTATGCTCTCCTGTGGCAAATCCTCATTGATTTGTGTTGGCTTTCCACTGTTAGGCTTCAATGGTTACTCTAAACACCATAACCACATTAGTGTTTTGAAGTGTGCATGGTGTGTGGAGTTCAGTGTGCAAATTTCAGTTTGAAACATTGCACATATAGAGATATTTTATATTCGTGCCAGAAGTGTAACTCCACCTACCGTAGTGTCTTTATGCTGTCATTAACCAGTCCAGAACCAGAGTTCCGGGCCAGCTATTCTCAATTCAGTACATGTTTCTATGCACAGACAGCCCAGCTGACGCTCTACCAGGGCTTGATATATCCCAGGTCGCCATGGCGACCAGGAAATTTTGTCCTTGCGCTTGGGATCTGTGTACCTGTTCAGCCCCCTAGGTGACAGTCAGCTCAATGAGGACTGAGTGAAGGAGAGAGGTGGACGGCTCATTAAGAGTTAAGGTAGGGAGGCAGGTGGCTGACCTGGGGAATGAGGGGGCAGCTGGGTGGCTAATGGAGAGCTGAGGGACGGAGGGGGCGTCCGACTGGCAAATGAGGGAGGCGGATGGCTGATTATTGGGTGGGAGGGAGCTCTAATCTCTCTGCTTTTCCTCCTCGCACACCTTGTAGTGATGCCGGGATCCGGGTTATGACATCACTCCGGCTCACTAAACCGTGCGCGAGAAGGAGCAGAGCAGTTAGATGACAGCAGCCCCACTGGACGCCAGGGAAAGCCTATCAACTCCAGCTCTCCAAAGGTAGGGAGAGCGGGTGGATTTACATTAAAATAAAGTCATTATTTGTGCGTGTGTGTTTGTCTGTGATTGTGTGTGTCGGTCAGTGAGTGTGTATTTCTTCCAATCACATGGGAAAGGTGTATTTACTTACCATTTTTCCCACGCTGGGCTGATGACGCCGCGGATGGTCCCACCTCCATGGCTGAGATTATCAAACTTGACGATATCAGCCAATCCAATGCTTCCCCATAGGAAAGCATTGGGAAACTATTGTGCATGCACAGCTCTCCAAAGGTAGGGAGATTGGGTGGATTTACACTAAAATTTAAAGTCATTATGTGTGTTCCCTCCAATCACATGGGAAAGGTGTTTTTACTTACCATTTTTCTCCCCTCCATGGCTGAGATCATCAATCTTGATGAGCTCAGCCAATCCATTGCTTCCCCATAGGAAAGTATTGGGAAACTATTGCGCATGCACAGCAAAATGCCACTGCGACAATTTACCTTCTCATAGAGATGCATTGAACCAATGCATCCCTATAGGGAACATTAACGTAAATACTGCACAGTAGGAAGCACTCCTAGAGGCTGTCTCAGTGACTGTCACTAGAGATGTCACCAGGCAGCAATTTGTTTACATTGCAAAGCATTCAGGGACAGTAAATAGCCTTCAGAACGACTGCATTAAGTAGTTATGGTGCTTGAAGTGTTAATTTAAAAATTACTTTTTTTGTTTTTTTTTTGTAGGGAGGCTGTATGTCAAGTGCAGGGAGGTGTGACTAGTTCTGCATAAACAAAGTGATTTAATCCCTAAATGGCAGAGAATTGAGTCGTGGGACTCTGGGGGCATGATCTATACACCATAACTGCTTCATTAAGCTAAAGTTGTTTTGGTGCTTCTTGGGGATTTATTCACTACACATTAAGTTACTGTGATCAGAGAAACGAATTACAAAGCTGAGGTTAAAATGGCCACGCTGTGTTTAGAAATGTTAGGATTCGCTGTTTTAGCCTCAATTGAGCAGTTCAGTTTTCATTTTGCTTAAATTCTGTGTGCTACGTATCTTAACAGGTGTCCAAACTAGAGGAAGAGGACATGCTGAATGTCTCTCGGTAATCGTTCCTGCCAGTAATCGTTAACTTGGGAGAAACCTGTACTGCTGACGAGAACAGGGTTAAACCCATATGTAGTACTCACCTTCCCTGCAGGCTCAGTTTCCTAATTTGAATAATACCAAAGTGATAAATTGATAAGCTATTGTCTGGCTAAATTACGTCATTACTTGAAGCCCATTTGCTGTCTCGTCATTCCTTTCCATTATGCAAGTTGTAGGAGTCTGGTTCTTCCTCTCCTAATCATTGCAAAAGTGTTTCCTTAACTTATAATTGGAGTCCATTTCCTTCTGATTGGAACCACCCGTTCTGTAGCCTGCCTGATATTGCACAGCTCAGGACATTCCCTTCGACTTTAGGAGAAAGTGAAAGTGGCGCCTTAAACGTCTTTCAATGTGGAAATGTAAAACAAAAAGAATGGAAAAATAGGAACTATTTAAATCCACATAGGGAGAGGGATAAAGACATAACATCCTCCAGTATATTATCCAACCGGAGCATGCTGCCTTCGTCCTCTCACCTGTGTGCTCCCTCGTGCTTGACCAGTTGTATATCTGTTCTTGTGAGTGTAGAGGGCCCTGCTTACAAAATGACAATTTAGCTAGCTATCACAGCCTATGTCCGACGTCTCCTCTTTATAGAACTATTTTGTTCTACTGCTGTCGGTTGGCCAAGTCTTTGTGTTTTATTCATGTTCGTATAGCCTGATGTCTCTCCTATTTTGCTGTACAGTCCTCTGCCATCTATGCTGAATATTGGATCATATGCCATGCTTGGCAAACTGGGGAAAAAAATATAGTCTCAATCATCATGAACTGTCACTTGGCTCCCAATGTATTTACTCTGATTATTAGGATGTTTAGTCCACCACCAATTTCAACGTTTGTGTGATATCTGCCGTTCTCTCCCTTCCTGGCAGCTCTAAGCTTTTTGTGCTGTGGTCTGAACTCGCGATTGTCCCGTAGAGGTACTGGAATCCTGAATGCTGAGTGTGACACTTCGTGTCAGTGCAGTTTGCACGTTTATTGGTGACTGATACTGCTTCACGCTTATTGAGTGTGTACTGACTGTATAGTACTTAATGTGAGCCCCCGGTACAAAGTATACCCTGCGGTGTGTGCGGTAGGACACTGGATACAGTGCTCCATTATCCCTGCGCATGGTGTTCCTTTTTTTTGGACCTGTTTGTTACTAGTGCACATGATTGTGATGCCAGCATGTCTACAGTTATAACCCGGTTAATTCTTGTGTCAAGTACACTAAAACAGAGAAGGGATGTACATACAGAGGGGGGTGTAACAAATCCAGAATAAACATAAAATGACTACAGACGTTCTGCAATAATTCAGATAGGACATCCATTGTTTGAAATCCAGTGATAAAGTAGGAGACTCACAAAGAGCTGACAATCTAGTTTTCTATTTGAAGCATGTGCTTCGCAGAACTGAAAACTTAGTAAAATAATGGAAAAACTCTGCCAGGCGGAGCTTACAATTGAGCGGTACATCATGGGAGAATGATCAGAGAGCTAATAGTACAGGTTTTATGGGAGGTTCTGCCACCCAGACATTACAACACAATGGTTTAATGAGAAAGCCTTACCCAAGTAATGCTTTGTTTGATTACATGTTTGTAAGCTTTCTCAGGGAACTATAAAGTGTTAGGAGGTTTCCCAATAAACATACCGTCTATTAATAAAACTGATCCAGATTTCACCGTTGCAGTAGTGTAAAGACTTGTTGCTTGTTCAGAGTGCGTTGATGAAAATGCAGTTATTTTGACTTTTGAAGCTGGCTGTTTAAAACATTGAGCTTATCTAAGTTTTGATTAACTTTTAACCTATAGTTATTAGTCTGCTTGCACACTGAGATACCTGTTTCTCTAACAGAGAAGGCATTTCTGTTCTCCCCTCCAGTGGTGATGCAAACCGTGTGTGTGCCCCAATTGCGTCCAAGATGTACCATCAAATCATTGCTCTGGTAGGATACAGTTGTTCTGCAAAGAGACCCTTTCTAATTCTGTACATGTTTCTCTTTTGCAGGATCTGGCACCGTGGCAAAGACTGCTTCGTCTGAGGTGAGGCACCATCTCTGGAGGGGAGGGGGTGGCAATATTGGTTTAAAAGGATTTTCGCTTCCAATCAAATCGCTGATTAATCCTCTGCAGAGACGCCACATTGAATTGTCCATGGTTCTGCCTGGTCCTGTGATTGTCTGTTGGCTATAAGGTAGATGTGATATTGGCACAATTAACTGGATGCTAAGCCACTGACTGCATCACCATAATCCCTCTCAGGCTAAGGCTTGAGCCCTGTACATTCAATGTGCATCTCCTTTCATGGGTGGGGAGAATTTCTCTGATCTCAGGGTGGAATGAGCCTCTGGCCCTCTGGAAGAAAACTGACCATGTATTCTTTTGCTGGTAGATGCCCAGCTCTTCGAATCAGTTTGGTGTGCAGACTATGAAGAAGATTGGTCACAGAGGGGTGGACTCAACGGGAGAGACCACTTATAAAAAGGTTAGCACGGGCATCTGGTGGCAGTTACTCTAGGGTAATTTTGTTGGCATCTTTCAAATTTCCTTTTTAATTTCCTTTTTTATTTTATTTTTAAATATGTAATTGTTTCCCCACCGAATAGTAGTTTTTACGCCCTTCATACTCTCTCTTACGCAGACCACGTCTTCTGCCTTGAAGGGTGCCATCCAGCTTGGCATTACACACACCGTGGGCAGCCTCAGCACCAAGCCGGAGAGAGATGTTCTCATGCAGGATTTCTACGTGGTTGAAAGTATCTTTTTCCCCGGGTATGTTGAGCTTCTTTTGGATTCCGACTTTTGTCTTTTAAAGGGGTCACATTGTGGTTGGGTATTTCTCAGACACAGTTGCTTGACTGAAATACAAGTTTGCAAAACTTCATCAACCTATCCGATTGTAAAGGAAAGAATGTAATAGTGTTTTTAAATAAGTAATAACATTCCATTTGATGATAATGCTTTGATGCTTATAATGGATAATATACAATCCCTTTCATCAGCAGGGTGGATAGATAACATAGTTTTAACAAAATCTTGTTTTCTTGCAGTGAGGGGAGCAATTTGACTCCTGCCCATCATTATAACGATTTCCGCTTTAAGACATATGCTCCTGTTGCATTCCGCTACTTCAGGGAGCTTTTTGGCATTCGACCAGATGACTATTTGGTATGTACAGTAGGACCCTATGCTAAAGAAGCATTCTGATTGGCTTGCATACCGAAAGGTTTAAGAGGGAGCCTGACCAGACGGCTAACAATTCATAATCACTGGAGTTTGTAGTCTAGTGGTACAGAGGCTCTGCTCTAAGGAGTGAAAAATATATTGTTATAATGTTAGAGCCTAATCAAAATGTTGAGATTGTAATTAGATAATTGAAGGCACCTCATGCAAAAGCATAGTGTTGGAATATTCTTTATATACCTTTTTATATACACATGGAGCCAAACTAGTGAAACTAGTCATCGGAGCTTTCAGTCTGCTTGTGTAATGTGAGTCTAGTGATTAAGTAGACTCTGTTACCCCTAGAAATTGTCTAGCATAGAGCTAATATTAAATCTTTTCCCCTTTTTTCCCCCCCACAGTATTCTCTCTGTAATGAGCCCCTCATTGAGCTGTCTAACTCGGGGGCCAGCGGGTCCCTATTCTATGTGTCTGGGGATGATGAATTTATCATTAAAACAGTTCAGCACAAGGAGGCAGAGTTCCTTCAGAAACTGCTGCCTGGATATTACATGGTAAGAGACACGTATTACTGTATATACGGCTGGACACTGCTGATTTATTTTAGGTGTTCATTTGCAATAATTGGATTGCTGTTGCTATGTTTAACTTTGTAAATATTCTGTGTATTGTAGCTGCAATATTTAATTTGTCTCATCCCACTGGAAATGCTTGATCATTAATTATTAAAAAAACAATTGCTCTGATTTTTTTTCTTCGTCAGAACCTGAACCAGAACCCTCGGACCTTGCTCCCCAAGTTTTATGGACTATACTGTGTGCAGGCGGGCGGAAAGAATATCCGTATAGTTGTGATGAATAATTTGCTTCCCCGTTCCGTCAAAATGCACTTGAAATATGACTTGAAGGGCTCAACGTACAAAAGGCGAGCGTCCCTAAAAGAACGAGAGAAAAGTTTCCCCACCTACAAGGACTTGGACTTCATACAGGATATGCCAGATGGACTTTTCTTGGATCCTGACATGTACAGTGCTCTTTCAAAGACCATCCAACGAGACTGCCTGGTGAGGGTGCTCAGAGTGTATTACGATGGTTTGTAATGGAATATGTGGAGGGGTCCCTACTTTCCCTAAATAAGAATGTTGATTGCTGTCCAGCTGTGAAATATTCTGATGGCCATATTAATGGAGCTTTCTCGAGTATGGTTCTAGAGTAAACATTGCTTTGTTCCTCAGGTTCTTCAAAGCTTCAAGATTATGGATTACAGCTTGCTTGTGGGTGTCCACAATATCGACCACGCTCAGAAGGAGAGTGCAATAGTGGATGGACAAAACAATTCTGATACAAAGCGGCCAGCGGCACAGAAAGCCCTTTACTCCACTGCCATGGAGTCCATTCAAGGGGAGGCACGGCATGGCGGTTCCATTGAGACTGACGATCAGTATGTTTGCCTCATTTAATATTTCCATGCTTACAATATAAAAATTGAGCTCTTTTGTTATATGTTAAGGAAAGTTAAATAGTCAGTTGTCTAACCTTCGGGCCTTGTAGAGAAAGCTTCATACCACTATTCTGCTGTGCTATTGAGAAAGGCTTTTCATGGTTTTGTATCAGAAAACGAGGAGTCTTTTTAACAGGAAACCTGTTGATATTTGGCTAATTCATATGTAACACTGTTTTGTGTATAATGACAATGTTTTTCTCCCAGGATGGGTGGTATTCCGTCTCGTAACGCCAGAGGGGAACGTCTCTTACTGTATATTGGAGTTATTGATGTGTTACAGTCTTACAGGTCAGTGACTTTTATTAGATGTAGCGCTCGAGAGCCAAACTACAGCCCTAAAAAGGAATACATTACCCTAACTAAAATATTAATACTACTCCCCTGTTTCTGAGCACAGTTTGTGTATAGTGTGTGTAGGGAAACTTGTGCAATGTCCACCCTGTAGGCTTTCCCCTGTGTATATCACCCTCCAAATATAGGGGACTAGTCAAAGTGTGAAATAATAGAACATATATAAATTATTGATGAGATGCCCAAGCTATTTAAGCAGTCCTAAAGATGAAACATACCACAAAATGATTAATTTGCAGTATTTTTTTTTACCTATATTTAATTGGTAAGATTTGATTTTGCAATCTTTTTCTAAGCCTTGTACCTATCTGGGCTTCAACTTTTCTTATGTCAAGTATAGACATGTGCATGTATATATGTATATTCCTTTACTTTATAATCCTCCATCATTTCAGCTGGATTCCATGTAGTATAGCCCTATGCCAATCCTAGATATATGTAAATCACAGTACTATAATATCCTCTACAACTTCGGTTAAAGGGGATATCGGGATTCATTCTTATTCTACTAATCTATTACATGTTAAGTGTTCTATCCTTTGAAAGACGTCCCAGTTGTCTTTATGTGTAGATACTGATTGTGTGATACTTCTCACTCGTCAGAAATTAGACCAATTAGGCTCTTATTGTGTTTGCGTTTTGTTTTTGTGTAGATTTATTAAGAAACTGGAGCACTCGTGGAAAGCGCTGGTGCACGATGGGGTGAGTCTGTTACTCCTGTAATAGCCTATATGTCTGTGCAATGTCATGATTGAATCCTCACACTCCTCCTTTCCTCTCTGTTTTCCCAGGACACAGTGTCTGTTCACAGGCCGGGATTCTATGCTGAACGCTTCCAGAGATTCATGTGCAACACGGTTTTCAAGAAGATTCCATGTGAGTTTATCTTCAATATTTCTGTCCTAAAAATATTCTAGAGAAGGATAGAATGAGGCTCCTGTAGTCTAAACTATAGTTCTTCCATTCCCTGGAAATGAGTTGGCATGGAGCAGTAGGACAAGAATAGTCTCCTGGTCTGCAAGTTGATATGTTTCACTACCTAAATATGAGCTTTAGAGTAAGATGATTGACTGGGGATAGATAAATCTTAGCTGCAATCCTGGGCCGCAAATAAGAGATGTTAACGCACATTGAGAGAGGCTTAAAGCCCAAATGTGTGCAATTTGTTTATTAAAGGGTAAGAGTGTTATTGTAATGGGTTCAGCTTTAACACAGTGTCTGTTACATCTCTATAACTGTATGATTTTTAACTTAAGCATTTAAGTTCAAGATCTAGAGGATTTAGACTAAAGTTGTAGAGGGTACGTGGCTGGGTACATCGCTGAATTCGCAAAAAACCCAGACAATGACATCGCTTCTGGAGAGGGGAGCGAGTGCAGGTAAAGGTGAGATTTACCTACCTGAACCTGTCCCTCGTGGACGCGGCCTAATTGATCTGGCAGGTTCTCAGAGCTGCATGAACAAGAGTACAGCATTGACGTCTGTGGGTGTGACCACGGGATCCTCCATAGACAGAGACGTCACTGGTGACAGCTGTCTGAGTTGTCGGTTAGACTCTGCCAAAGTCCTTACTTTGTCTCTGTAAATCTATTGACTGGGTTGGAATTTTGGTGAAATTCCAACACAGTCAAAATTTGTATTTCAAAAAGATTCTAATGTAGTTGTTCTGGTGTTTGTAGTCTGTCCCTGCAGGCCTTTCAATGTAAACACTGCTTTTTCAGAGAAAAGGCAGTGTTTATGTTACTGCCCAGTAACCCCTTAGTGACAGTAACTCAAACGGTTACTACAGGTGCTTCTTTTGTCAGTGCTAAATGTTCCCCATATAGAGATGCATTGATTCAAAGCATGTCTATGAGGCGATGCTGATTGGCATGGCGTTTTGCCACACATGCACAATAGACTCCCAATGCTTTTCTGTGGGTCAGCCCTGGGAAGAAAGGGTGAGTAAATCACATTTTTACTGCACAGATAGGGACCCTGGGAACCTATTATATTTAAACCCAAACATTATTTTAGGACTATAGTATCAGGAATACATGTTCTTATTCCTGACACTATATTGTTTTTTTAAAACCAACCTGCACTAGAAGTAGATGACACCCAGGGAGACCTATAGTCAGAGAAACTATAAACAGGTAGTTATATCCTAACTGTCGGCAGCTAAGTTGTGAATTAAAATGAGCTCACTTAGTGTTGGGGCTGAGACTGTGTATACATTTGAAGTCTTTCTGGTATGGGGTGTGTGGCTAAGGAGTCAGGCATACGGTGCAGCATTATGCTAAACATTGTTTTATCATTTATTTTTGTATGAAAAACAAAGATTTTAGCATTAAAAATAATATAGCATATTAATGAGTCAAAAACGACCAAATGCATTCAAGTTGCATTGGAGTTACCATTTCAAGATTAACAAATGCAAGAAATATGTATTTAACATATTTGCATGTGGCATTTCTTGATCATAGTTTTAGGCTTCAGATAGACACAGTGAAAAGTTTCCACGTTCTATTCTCAGTAAAAGCATCACCTTCTAAGAAAAGCCGGACAATGCCTGGTTTGACACGCAGAGCCACCCAGAGCGCAGTGCCCACTCATTTACAGCTGACTGGAGAGTCCAAGCAGTACCTCGCAGTTGAAGGAGATTTGGAACAAGGTGAGTCACCAGTTATTGCCTTTATCATTGTACTCCTTCCTGCACCTCTCTCTACTCACAGTGGATTTTCGTTTAGGTGCACACTTAGGAAGGCCAGACCTCCTTCCCCGAACCCCACCTGTAGATGAAGCTGCCAGTGACTCACTAGCGACCACTTTATCCACATCCTCGTTGGGCAGTGGAGGGTTAAATTCCCCTGCACACAGGTATCTTTAATGGGCTTTGATAAAGAATAAAGCTGCATCCAGAGTACTCTGCCTACAACTAAACCCTTTCTCTCTGTTTTCCAGGTCTGTGGGAGTGGAGGTGCACAAATCAGAGGTGCCAGACTACGACTTACAAACTCGACGCAGCAGTGGCATCTCTGACACGTGAGTTAAGCAACTGTCAAGCCTCATTCTGATCTTTCAATCCTCACTACCACCTAACCAATAGCCTTGTATAGGTCATTTCACTGTATTTCCATTTCTTTTTTTTCTTTTTTTTTATGTATGCGTTTGTTTTTTATAATAATTAAATTTAGTTAGGCAAACTGAACCGTAATAAAACACAAATGTAGTAGTAATGTCAATCATGTAATATTCAAGAAAAGGGAAATAAAATTAAAAAAATCAATTAATTTTATTCTTTACCATCTTTGGACAGGTAGCCCCAAGCTTCCCAACTTTGCCTTAAAGGACACCTATAGTCACCCAGACCACTTCAGCTCAATGAAGTGGTCTGGGTGCCAGGTACCCCAGGTTTTAACCCTGCAGATGAAAACATAGCAGTTTCAGAGAGGCTAGAGGCGCTTCCCCGACGCTCAATGCAAAAATCGCATTGAGCACGCAGAATGTCCATAGAAAAGCATTAAGAAATGCTTTCCTATGGGCGGTTTTAATGCGCACACAGCTCTGGCCGCCCATTCGGCTTCACTCTGGAGCTGACGTCGGAGGTGGAGGAGAGGTCACCAGCGCAGAGGGAGCCCGGTGCTGGATAAAGGTAAATGGCTGAAGGGGTTTTAACCCCTTCAGCCCAGCAGGAGGGGGGCCCTGAGGGCAGGGGGGGACCTAAGGATTATATAGTGTCAGGAAAACGAGTTTGTTTTCCTGACACTAAAATGGTCCTTTAATAAAGTCATACATACCCCTCTACTTTACTTGTCCTAATCAGTTCTCCCAATCATGTTCTGTTCTGTCACCCTTGACCTGTTACCTAAACCTAGTCACCCACCCCTTCAAACATCACTCCATCTTCTCCTTCTTTCCTTCAAAATACATGCACGTTGTCTCCACTTGGCATCAAGACAAATTCTAATAATTTTCAGAGCCTCTTCCAGGTTACCAAATACCACTCTTTGAAAGCTCATTCTGGTCACTACTTTTCTTCAAATCACATTCCAGTGTAAACATTCAGTGACTGGCTTTCCCCTTACTTTGTCCTTGGTCACTGTCCCTCTCTTCTAAAACACACACAGGTTTCTTATTGAATTTCCTTGTTTGTTTTTTAGTGCCCGCAGACCCAGGGCACCAGATGAAATGCAGATGCAAGGAGGTGGAAGTCAAGAAGATGAGGATGATGCTCTGGATGTTAACCAAATTGAGACCGAAATCTGCTTTGTAAGTATTTCTTGATATGTTTGGTACATTTTCATAGTAAAGGAACACTATAGCACTAAGAAAATGAACCTGCATTCCTTACGGTATAGTGCCCAAGGCCCTATTTATACTCAGTACCCCCTTTTTGCAAACTAAAAATAATAAATGATTACACTTTTTGCAGCGCAAAACTCCCTCTGTTCTGCTGCCAGCTCCGCCTCACACGACATCATAAGAGTCAGCCCCTATGGGTGTGGTTAACCCCACAATATAAACATTACAGTTTCTACAAAATCGCAATGTTTTATATACCAGGGTTAAAACTATAGGGCAGCTGTACCCAGACCACTTGATTGATATAAAGTGGAGAAGGGAGCATTTATTGGTCCTTTAAAAAACCCATATGACCCAGAGGTTTGTGGTTTTTTTTGGAAACGTCATGCTTGTCAATGGTGCTACCATTTACAGAATGAATCTGCATTAATGTATAATAAAATGGATTGACAGAGGTATGAATAAATATCACAGGGGCTGTGAATAGATTGCTCAGAATTTAGCTTGCAGCTCATAGGCTAGGGGCATGTTTTGCTTGGCAGAGAATTCTAAAGATAAATATAATTTATAGAATGCATTGTAAAAATAGTAGAAATTTGACACATACTGTAGATTGAGTAATGCATTGAAGTATAGTGAGGTATGGACAATGTTGGTGAATATGTATGTGACACAGACAAAATAATGGACATGATCTGCATTCAACATATTCTTTTTGTTTCCACAGTGAGATGGAATAAGTGGATTGCTGACAATTGCACGCTGCATTCGTGAAGCTCTGCTGACAGAGTCCGGAAGAGGACACTACTTCTGCTGCTCAGTTTTCGTAACGGAATCTGTGCTGTCAGTAACTGAACTTACTTTGCCTCCTCTGCCCTGTCCAAGGGCTTCTGTTACAAGCGGTTAAAATGGCTGCTTTCTGGAAAGGTCACTCGCGGAGGGCGAAGGACTCCTCCATTTTGCCTTACTCTACAACCCCCTTCGTGGAAAGTGTTTTACGTCTTTTCATATTTAATATATATATATTTTTGAAGTAGACCAATCGTTACACGTAGAACTTGTGGTTTTCTTTTCTTTTTGTTTTTTTGAAGATGCTTTTGAAAAAAACACGGACCAAAAACAACTTTAAAAAGCAGTTGCTGCCTATTTTGTGGCTCCTTCCCTTGCAAGGAGCTGTGACCTCATCCATCACTTGCCCTGTTGTGTTTAAAAGGGCCGGAGCATGGTCAGGTGACCTTATTGCAGTGTTGAAAACGGGTGGCAGTGTGAGGATGTTACCCTTGGGCGAATTGAACAATCGAACTTGCCCATTAACACCTTTTAACCAAACATACTGTGCGAACATACAAGCTCCATCCTGTCTGTTGCCTTCTGCATGTGCATTGACGCCAAAGTCCTTACACCATATGTGTGTGTATATAGGAGTGACCCATGCTCTCATATTTTTTTATTTTTTTTCTGCAAAACCTCTCTGCTTCCAGCAGCTCCAAAATAAAGCACTGGGGGCAGCAAAGAGCGACATGAATGTAAAAGGGACTTTCTGTCGGCAATAAATGAACTCTGAATTTTTTTCTCTATACAGCCCTCGAAGTTTTATTATGTAGCTCCAGGGCTACTGTCTGGAGAGCAGGGTAGCCATCTGGCATAGCACCACGATGCAGTTCCACCATAGCTGCACAGCTACTTTTTGGCCAGTGTGTCTGTAGACTGTGACCCTCCTGGCAGTGAAGGGGTTAGTATTTGCATTCAATGGTTTTTCTTTTCTTTCCGTAATACTAACTTGGTAAATTAAAATGAAAACTCGTACTTGATCCCTCCAATCCAAAATGTACTCTGGGTGCATGTAGACTCCATTTATAAGGTCCCAAAACACTATATTTATAAATGCCCACCTCTTGCCAGACAATGGATAATTGGTGATTTTATGGATTATTATTTTTTTTATTATTTTTTTTTTAACCAGTGCTTGGAATGTCAAAGTTCCATTTTTATTTTCTTTGCTACATCGATTTTATTTTAATTTTATTTTTTTTGGTTGTTTTCTTTTGCTTATTTCACATTGTTTTACTATTTATTTATGTGTTTTAATTCTTGATAAATGATTGCTCCTGGAGCAGAGTTATATATCTGTATCTATAGAAACATATAAAGGAACAACTGAAAGAATGTATTGTTGGCTGCAGTTATTTTGTGATGTGAAGAGGAGCTACAGCTGCTGGAGTAAAAAAAATTAAGTTTTGATTGAGTTTTTCATGTTGCTCCTAATCACTAGATCTTTAATATAAAAAAAAAAATATATATATATATATATATATATATATATATATATATATATATATATATATATATATATATATATATATATATTTTTTTTTTTTTTTTTTATAGACTAGGTTGCAGACCAAATTGCTTGCAGATTGTGCTGCTCACTTTCAATCCCTTCACCGACCAAGGTAGCTTCCTGTCCCCCGTACAAACTAGACTGCTCACATCTAGGTACCGCATCCATGCAGACCAGGCTGTACACTTCCTGTTCCCACTCCCTGCACAGACCCTTCTACTCACTTTCATTACCCGCTTCCCATAGACCAGGCTCTGCTCTCTTCCCTTCCCCTCTACCCACAGTCCAGGCTCCCCGCTTCCAAATCCCTCCCATGTGCTCTTTCATTCACTCCTACCCATAGACACAGACTGCTCGCTTCCAGATACCGTGCTGCTAGCTTCTGATTGTCCTCCGACTAGGATCTTCAATGTCCCACCAAGACCAGACTGTTCTCCAATTCTCCTCTAATCATAGACTAGGCTGCTCTCTTCCATTACCCCCTAACCATATACTAGGCTGCTCTCTTACATTACCCCCTAACCATAGACTAGACTTCTCTCTTCTATTACCCCCTAACCATAGACTAGACTGCTCTCTTCCATTACCCCCTAACCATAGACTAGACTGCTCTCTTCCATTACCCCCTAACCATAGACTAGACTGCTCTCTTCCATTACCCCCATACACCAGGCAGCATTTTGCTTTCAATCCCTCCAAAGGCAGGCCAAGCTGCTTGCTTCCATGCCTTCATACCGCCCTATACAATTCTGTTTACCTCCAGGCAAAACCCTGTTGAAAAGGCTGCTCTCTTCCAGGCCAACATCTCCAGTAGATGATGCTGCCCATTTCTAGTCAACCCTCCGTTAGACGATGCAGCTTGCTTCCAGTCTCCCTTCTGCTGTAGACCAGGTTTCTGACTTTCAGTTCTTCCCTTGCAGACCAGCTTCTAGCTCCCCTCTCCTCGCTGATCAGGCTGCTCAGTCCCTTCCCTGTAGACAAGGCTGCTTCCAATTCCTCCTCGGGGCCAGACTCTACTGGATTTCAGGCAATGCTTATTGCTTCAAACCAGGCCGTTCACTTCCAATACCCACTCCTCACCAACCAGACTTCCATTTATCCCTCACACATCAGGCGGTTTTCTTTCTGTTCTCTGCCTCACACCAGCCTTGTCCCTTTCTGTCGGCACCTGCCTGCTTCCTCTGGTCTTTTCTGGTAGCTTACTTAATGCATAGTGTTATAGTGTTGCATTGAATGGAGCCAAGGAAGAGTGAGAGCAGCTTGTATCTTGGTGGCCGTGTTGGAGGACAACTGGTACACAGGTGCAAGTGGTGACTGCATTGGAGAGACATAGGTCCTAAAGGTGCAGCAACAAATCAGATTAAGGGAGGCAGCTGATATTAAGTGTTAGCTGGTATTGAGGTGTGAAAAGTGGGTCAGAACTGATAGTGTTTGGGGTGATAGGAAGGAGTATGGCCTGTGGCATTATAGGGGATGGAGCTTAGACAGGGATCTACTGTCTTTAATGGAGCAGCTACTGGTGGAGCACTGGACGTGGCAGAATTGGATGGACAATTAGTATATCAGTTTATGAAATGGGGGGGGGGGGTAAAACTAATGGATGCCTGACATAAAGGTGTGGAGTGGTGCCAGTACAATGGACACAGCTAGTATTTGGCATATTTTGAGTGGCGGTCGTATTTGGGAACACAGCCCAGTAGAAGATACTCCTCTCTAGGAGTAGTGGGAGACATACCTGTGAGAGCGTGTTCTGACTGTGCATGTCATGCTTTGGTAAGCCAAGCTAGGAGTCAGAATGACAAACCTCAATAATGGTGGGCGAGTGAATGTTTGCTGATGCAGGGTCACTCTGTGCCCTCCTTTCCTTGTAAGATAGTGATAGATCCATACCTCCCGAGCATCTCTATTTAGGAAAGACAGTTCCTATTTTGGGCTTATATCCCTCTGTCCACCTTCTCTATCCTAATGTTCCTCTTTTCTAGGAGCTCCATATTGTTGGTGTGTCTGAGTGTATAACAGCGCTCCACAGCAATAATACTCCCAGTAATGTGTCTATAAACTACAATAAATGTGCTTAGAAATAATTCTTTGTAAAGAAGATACATAGTTATAATAAATTACATTTTAGTTGCATAAATTATTAGCAAGGCACCTCGTAAACTTAATGTCCCTCTTTGTCCACTCGAAATGTTGGGAGTTAGGGAGAACGTGTGTGTGTGTGTGTGTGTATATATGTCTATATCTTCAAAGGAGAAAATGTGTATATGTTTATGTAAGGATGAGTGGCTATGTTTGTACTCTGATTACATTGCCTGTAGTACTTGCTTGCATACTCAGTTAGTACATATAATGCAAAAAAATCCACTATATATAACAAGGAGACCACCACAAAAGTGTGTGAATAAATAACCAAAACAAATTACCCTTTAACTGTAGATTGGGAGAAGATTCCTCATATCTTTGATAAAAAACAAAACATATCTACAATCTAAAGGAATAAAAAAAGGAACTCAAATAGTAAAACACTGCATGTCCCCAGAAAAGGGATGGGGTAATTTTTGTACTCCCAACGATACAATTGATAGTTGGCACTTAAAAAAACCTTTATCGTGTATGACTTCTCTCTTCCCTCCTGTTTCGTACATGGAAGGAAAGGAGAGAGACAAACACATAGTGTAGCAATATGAACACAGTTAACAGCATTATTTAGGTTGCACTCACAAGATAAAACACAAAGTTAGGCACATCAATATTTCTTTTCCTGGAACAGGATCTGAAAAAGGTTTTTTAGGAATGGTTGTGCAGCAGCAATATGAAATAAACAGTGAAAACCAACACTTTATAGAAAAATGTTTCAGCTAGTACATACTCTTTCAAGCTCCTGCCCATAATCACTGGCATGACCCCATTATGGCATCGCCACCTACATGCAAATTTACATTTCGGGACTGGTCGGATTGCGATTTACAGGTTTTCAAATTCCCCCAAAATCTAGTGATTTCTTGATGGCTCCATGACTTGAAGGAGACATAAGACTAAGAGACAAAGACTGAGAGAGCATCGCTAAATTCAGAGGCAGCACATTTTAGGGAAATTCCCTCCAAAACCCCTTTTCCAAAAAAAAAAGGGAAGGTTGCGCCAGTGATGAATCAGGGTATTATACAAATAAAACAATAAAAACCGGTAAACATGCAAATAATATAAACACAATTATTGAAAAACACCATTGAAAATAAAACAAGTACCCAAAGGAGAATTAGCAGGAGTCCCAAAAAAATGAATTAAAGTCTTAAAGACGAATGGTGGTTCCTAATGGTATCTTCCTTCTTGGGCTTGTTGGTCACCAGGGACACTTAGGATTCATAAATATATATAAAAAGAAAAACTCCAATAGTGTAATAAGTCCACAAGTAAAATAATTCCAATCTACTCACATGTACTAGAGCTTTAGCCAGCTCTGGTGTGTTGTGCATGCAATGGTATTGATCCCCCACTTATAGGATATTGATGGAAGGTATGGTCAGCAGAAGTTGTTGTCACCAGTAGAGATTTCGCGAACGGCTTGCCGCGGGTTCGCGGCGAGCTCCGGTCAGCTGACACATCCTGGCCAATCTCCAGCAGACCCTCCTCCCAGACCCTCCCACCTCCTGGACAGCATCCATGTTGATGCTGTCCAGGAGGTGGGAGGGTCTGCTGGAGATTGGCCGGGATGTGTCAGATGACCGGAGCTCGCCGCGAACGGTTCGTGGCGAGCCGTTCGCGGGAAGTTCGTAAACGGTTCGCGACATCTCTAGTCACCAGGTTAGTACAGGACCAAAAAAAAAAAAACACCAGTGCTTATTGTGTAAAATAAAATAACCAGGAGTAATGCTAGGTAAAATGTACTCACATATTCCTGAGCAGGGAAAACTGCTCAGTTAATACATCATAGGTGGTATAATCCCCACCTTGGATTCTTGGCAAGATCTTTAATTCTACTTAAGACGAGTGACGTGGTTGGGACTATGTAGCGCCTTTTCCGTCTACTCAGAAGTACAATAGGGATTAGCTGGCACCATCATCTCCCGCGTAATCTGATGTCCACGATTGGCCAGTAAGGAACAGAATGGACCAATAGGATCGCATCTGGACGATTAAAAAACATCCATACATAAGTAGATTCAACTGATTTGAAAAAGCCATGAAAAGGGGTGAAACGTGTCTCAAGAGGATCCAAGCACCGTAGACTTTAGCTGTATATTGTTTTTTTTAGAGTTACTATATGTATTAATTAATCAACTTATTATTTGCAAAATAGTGTCTGGGGCTATCTTTAAAATCTACTTCAACTCCAAGGAGAGGGTAGTGTGACACAAAGGCTATTTTACTTGGAGCCAAGTTTTGAGCCTCCTAAAGAAGGTGATCAGTATATTCACATGTTATGCACAGAGTCACTTTATATTTCTTGACATACTTCACCAGAGGCTTCTGTTTCCATCTGTTTTATTTTTTCCTTTGTGAGTATATTCAACTAAAGACAGAAGAGGGACAGTATCACCATAGAACACATCTGCCAGAGTGATTTGAGCCTATCCCATTGGCTCTACAATTGTGAGTGAGATTCAGTCAATAACTTTGTCACAATCCTGATTTAGACTTTATTGCACCATTTTCTGCTTTCTTTTATATTATAACTCTCATTGTATATGGTATCTCTTATTATATAAGGGTAAGTGTGCTGTTTTTATATCCTTTAGCGCTCCACTGTATGCACTGGTGGTGGTATAACTACTTGGTACAATTGTTCAGACACCGGTAGGCAGCGGCCTAGTTGCAAATCAAGTGCTCATCCTGATTTCAAACACCTTAAAGCGGCATTGTCACCCCCATATTAAAAAATAGCATTTCATAAAGAGAGTATCTGCATGAAATACTCGTTATGACTGTGTTGGAATTTCACTGACATTCAACCCGTTCAAGTAGAGACTACTTTGGTCCTGTACTTCTCGTCCGCCTGACATTTCCTGACACAAGGCAAAGCCTGTGTGTCAATAAACTGCAGCCGTCATCAGTGACAGTGGCTGGGTCTATGAAGGATCCCAGTTTTGCTGGAATTCCCATAGACCTCAATTCTGTACTCGTGCACATCCGCGACAGTACAGCAGTAATGTCGGCAGGAGCAGCGCGACCAAGATGCCATCGAAAGTAACCTCATCCTTATCTGCTCCCCCTGGACCGCTAGTAGTGATGTCACCATAAAGGGAATTTGCAACTTCAGCAAAGTTCCCTCATGGTAACATTCCTTCTTTAACGATGTATGTGTAATGAAAACAATTGGCTAAACGTTTTTTGTTTTTTTATTTAATAATCAAGGTTTTTTTACTAAACTTTAATAAATTAATATTTGAATGGGAAAATGGAGCTGGTCTATTGCAGCTTGGCTTTTTTACCTCTATTCTGCAGTATGAATTTTGATTTTGTACAATTTGGAGTTTAGTGAACACCCATGCCAGGGTTATTAATTAAAACCAAACTCGGGTTATCAAAACTACCAAGTAATAACTAAGCAGCTGTCTGAACATCCAAATCCACCAATTCTCCGAATTTGCAGGATGTTTCTAGTGCTAATAGAAGCAATCATTACGAAAAGCTGTCATTAACCTCTCTCTGGAGGAAGGAGAGAGAGTCCGAGTGGGAACTCTGACTCCCATCAACCTTAGCCACTGGACCCCAGGGAAGTCACCCTGAAATATTTTGCATGTGTGTGTTAGTGTATGTATGAGTGTCTGTATGTATGTGCCTGTGTGTGTATCTATGTATGTCTCATACAGCTTGGCTCTTTCCTCTGCAAAAGTAAATTACTTCAATACCCTCATAACGACACTCTCCCGCAAACTGAAACAACTATTTCACACATTTAACTCTCTTCTTCGCCCTATTGTTCCTCCTCCACCTACTAACTTGACCGCCTCAGACTTTGCAACTCACTTCACTGACAAGATCTCTACAATACTTCCCCTAACTTCACTCCCTCTGCTATTCTATGTTCATTCGCACCAGCTACATTGCAAGAAGTTTCTGCTCTGCTCCAGTCCTCCCGCCCCACCACCTTCTCCCTAGATCCAATTCCCTCGCATCTCGTCCGTACTCTTCTTCTCTTTCTCCACCTCTCACTAAAATTCTCAATCTCTCTCCTCTGGTATATTTCCATCCCTCTTGACTAGTGTCTCTGACTGCCTCTCTGCTATTTCTAACTGGATGGCTGCCCACTTCCTTAAACTAAACTTGACCAAAACTGAAATTCTGGTCTTTCCTCCCCTCAAGTGTTGTTACTCCTGTGTCTGTCTCCCTCCAAGTCAACGGTGCTACCATCAACTCCACCACGCAGGCTCGCTGCCTAGGTGTTCTCTTTGACTCCGACCTCTCCTTCAAGCCTCATGTTCAATCTATCGCCAAATCCTGTCATTTTCATCTCAAAAACATTGCGCGCATCTGCCCTTACTTAACGCCAGATGCAACTAAGGTGTTGGTCCATTCCCTTTGTCCCTTCTCAGTGGTCTTACGTGCTCTCAACTTGCGCCATTACAGTCCATAATGAATCCGGGGGCGAGGCTCATCTTCCTGTCCGCCCGCACCTCCTGTGCTGCGACAATCTGCATCTCGTCAAAGAGATGCAACGACTCAATGCATCTCTATAAGGAATGTTCAGCACCCATACTGTGCAGCACTGATGGGGCAGGACAGATACACTGACGGCAAAATTGAGCAGAACAGACACACTGAGGGCGAGATGGGGCAGGACAAGCACACTGAGGGCAAGATGGGGCAGAGGGTGAAATGGGGCAGGACAGACACATTGAGGGCTAGATGGGGCAGAACAGGCACACTGGGGCTAAGACGGCGTAGGACAGGCACACTGGGGCTAAGACGGCGTAGGACAGGCACACTGGGGGTAAGACGGGGCAGGACAGACACATTGACAGTGAGATGAGGCAGGACAGACACACTGAGGGTGAGATGAGGCAGGACAGACAAATTGAGGGTGAGATGGGGCAGGATAGACACATTAAGGGTGAGATGGGGCAGGACAGACAAGTTGAGGGCGAGATGGGGCAGGAGAGACACACTGAGGGTGAGATGGGGCAGGATATTCCACACACATACACTTCTGCATAAATATACATACTGACACTGTTAACAAATACACTACTAGTCACACAACCTGACATCGACTACTGAAATTCACACACAAACACTCTATCTCTGCATCCACACAGACCCTCCACACTAATACACACTGACATTAACACACCAACGGTCCCCTTCGTTTATACACACTGCTTCTTCCACACAAAGACATGTATGTACACATTCCTTTCTTTACACAAACACTTCACAAATACACTCCTATTCACACTGAGACGTCATACAAATATATTTGTACGTTTACACATCAATATTCCATACAAATAAACCACTGCATTCATATGTCATAATTTCCTATAAATCAAACTCTGTATTCACACTTTTGCACTACATTAAAATAAAAAAATAAAAAAAAAATACATGTACTTTATACTCACTGGAACTACTGTACATGAAATGAACTTTGGGTTTCACACACATATCAACATAACACACATACATCCCTACTTTGACACTGACTGGCATCATGTACAAAAATAAAAGTTCCACTGACACCGATTGTACACGCTCCAATGCAAACATGTATTTGCAAAGTTAGATTTAGCATTTATTTAATACATATTATAATTATTATTGCCATTTATATAGCGCCAACAGATTCCGTAGCGCTTTACATATATATGGAAGTTGAAAGGGCCCAGGACTTCATTTGCCCAGGAGGCGGTCAGTCCTCCCTGGAAGCCCCCCTAGTGGCCCTCTGAGTGACTGTCACTGGAGGTGGCCCTGGGCTGTAAACACCGCCTTTGGCCTAACATTTTAAACTCCCTGTGAATTCCTTACAGGGGATAATCCCTTTAGGGGGTTTCAAGATTTACCAATATACCAAACTACAAAAAAACACAAAAATCTGCAAATCAGTGGGGTTTTTTTTTAAAGTTTTGACTATTCTGGCCTTAAATTTTAATTGACTTTGAATTCCTGCCCATTGTGACTTTATTAAATATCTTTATAATTGTGAGCTCGCCCTTTGTCACTGGCACAGTGAGCTGGCTGGAGAGGGGGCAGTATGGGCAGCACTGAGTGAGGGCAGATACAGGATGTCATGGTCCAGTGGGGAGACGGGTTAGAACTGCATTACCCGTGAAGCTTTGCGCGGAGAGAGGAAGTGACGGCGGGCGGACCCGTTAGCCAATCGGAGCGCTCGGTGTTGGAGGGTCAGAGCTGCAGTGACAATACAGCAAGATGGTGCTAGAAAGTACTATGGTTTGGTGAGAAACCGGGCTACCGGCGGGTATGAGGGAGTCACTGAGTGACTGGGGGGAGGGGAGCCCGGGGGCCCGGCCTGGAGAGGGGAGAGAGGGGAAAGCAGGAACCCGGGGGGACCCGACCCGGAAACCCTGAGTCATTCACTGAGAGCAGGCCGTACTGACCGGGGGGCACCGGGACACAGAGCAATAACCGGGCACCGGGACACAGAGCAATAACCGGGCACCGGGACACAGAGCAATAACCGGGCACCGGGACACAGAGCAAGAACCGGGCACCGGGACAAACAATAACCGGGCACCGGGACACAGAGCAATAACCGGGCACCGGGACACAGAGCAATAACCGGGCACCGGGACATAGAGCAATAACCGGGACACAGAGCAACAACCGGGCACCGGGACATAGAGCAATAACCGGGACACAGAGCGGGCACCGGGGACACAGAGCAATAACCGGGACATAGAGCGGGCACCGGGACACAGAGCAATAACCGGGCACCGGGACACAGAGCGGGGACCGGGGACACAGAGCGACGACCGGGGACACAGAGCGACAACCGGGCACCGTGACACAGAGCAATAACCGGGCACCCGGACACAGAGCGGGACACAGAGCAATAACCGGGACACACCAGGACACAGAGCAATAACCGGGCACCGGGATACAGACCGGGGAGCACCGAGACACAGAGCAATAACCGGGACACAGAGCAATAAGCGGGCACCGGGACACAGAGCAATAAGCGGGCACCGGGACATAGAGCACACACCGGGGACATAGAGCGGGCACGGGACACAGAGCGGGCACCGGGACATAGAGCAATAACCGGGCACGCGGGCACCGGGACACAGAGCAATAACCGGGCACCGGGACACAGAGCAATAACCGGGACATAGAGCACACACCGGGACACAGAGCAATAAGCGGGCACCGGGACACAGAGCAATAAGCGGGCACCGGGACATAGAGCAATAACCGGGCACCGGGACATAGAGCAATAACCGGGCGCCGGGGACACAGAGCGGGCACCGGGACATAGAGCAATAACCGGGCACCGGGACACAGAGCGGGCACCGGGACACAGAGCAATAACCGGGACACACCGGGGCACAGAGCAATAACCGGGACACAGAGCTATAACCGGGCACCGGGACACAGAGCAATAACCGGGCACCGGGACATAGAGCACACACCGGGGACATAGAGCGGGCACGGGACACAGAACGGGCACCGGGACATAGAGCAATAACCGGGCACGTGGGCACCGGGACACAGAGCAATAACCGGGCACCGGGACACAGAGCAATAACCGGGACATAGAGCACACACCGGGACACAGAGCAATAAGCGGGCACCGGGACACAGAGCAATAAGCGGGCACCGGGACACAGAGCAATAAGCGGGCACTGGGGACACAGAGCGGGCACTGGGGACACAGAGCGGGCACTGGGGACACAGAGCGGGCACTGGGGACACAGAGCGGGCACTGGGGACACAGAGCGGGCACTGGGGACACAGAGCGGGCACTGGGGACACAGAGCGGGCACCGGGACATAGAGCACACACCGGGACATAGAGCACACACCGGGCACCGGGACATAGAGCACGCACCGGGACATAGAGCACACACTGGGCACCGGGATATAGAGCACGCACCGGGCACCGGGATATAGAGCACGCACCGGGCACCGGGATATAGAGCACGCACCGGGCACCGGGATATAGAGCACGCACCGGGATATAGAGCACTCACCGGGCACCGGGATATAGAGCACTCACCGGGCACCGGGACATTGAGCACTCACCGGGCACCGGGACATTGAGCACTCACCGGGCACCGGGACATTGAGCACTCGCCGGGCACCGGGACATTGAGCACTCGCCGGGCCACACCGGGGACATTGAGCACTCGCCGGGCCACACCGGGGACATTGAGCACTCGCCGGGCCACACCGGGGACATTGAGCACTCGCCGGGCCACACCGGGGACATTGAGCACTCGCCGGGCCACACCGGGGACATTGAGCACTCGCCGGGCCACACCGGGGACATTGAGCACTCGCCGGGCCACACCGGGGACATTGAGCACTCGCCGGGCCACACCGGGGACATTGAGCACTCGCCGGGCCACACCGGGGACATTGAGCACTCGCCGGGCCACACCGGGGACATTGAGCACTCGCCGGGCCACACCGGGGACATAGAGCAATAACCGGGCACCGGGGACATAGAGCAGGCACCTGGCACTCAGGACATAGGGCGGGCACCGGGGGCCTAGAGCACGCACCGGTGGTATAGAGAAGATTAATGGAACTCTATGTGGGAATAAAGAGTAATGGTAACCTGGGCAGGGAGCAGTATCTGGAAATATCGTGGGGGTGACAGCTGGAGACAGCTCCTGGGAGTATGAAGGAGGATGGCAGTTGAAGTTGGGGTTAGTAACAGGGGCAGGGAGCAGTAATGTGGGAGAGCGGACGAGGATGGCTGTTGGAGCAGGCAGACTTTAATAAGGGTCATTGTCAGGAAAACTGGAAGGTAATGGCTGCCTGTGCAGGAGACTGTAACATTGAGGAAGAGTAAGACCGCACAGTTATGGGACTACATCTGTTAGAATGGAGGAAACGGAAGACTGACTTGTATCAGGAAGCATTGTAGTAAAATTACACTCAGGACTGTATTGCAAGGAATGGAGGAGGCGAACAATTGGTAAAGGGGCTCTGCCAAGAAGAATGGAGGGCAGTGACAATCGGAAGGGAAAAATATCCAGGTTTGGGAACTGTGTCAGGGAGACTGAAAGAAGACTGGGTCATGAAGACTAAAGGGGCCTGTCTACGGAAGACTGGAGGGGGTTAACAACAGGGGAGGAGAGTGAGTCAGGGAGCTTGGAGGGTAAAAGCTTTTTAAACTGACATTGTTTTTCCTTTTGTAGTGTGGACAACAGTGAATATATGAGAAATGGAGATTTTTTACCTACCAGATTACAGGCCCAGCAGGATGCCGTTAACATTGTATGTCACTCCAAGACTCGCAGCAACCCTGAGAACAACGTGGGACTCATCACCTTGGCAAAGTATGTGTTAGATTAGTATTATTCCAATTGCTCCTGCAATACCATTGTTTGATATGTAGAGTCAAGTTTAATTCTTTATTGGAAATAAAATACCTAAAGCAGATCTGTCACTTATTTTTTCTTTATTGGTATGTCCAAGTTTTATTTATTTCATCACTTATTTTTAAAGGTATACATTTGAAAAAGTAGGGACTACGTTTCCTTATGTATAATCTGCATTTTGACAAAAGGTGGAGCTTTAGTCAAGCTCCACATCTTTTAATATTGGTCAATAATCTCCTTCTAGCATTGCATCTTAAGTGATAAAACTGCTTCAAAGGAGCACTAATGGGTGTGGAGTGGACTTTATATCGCCTTACACCCTGGACATGCGGTACCGGGCAGACAGATTTTTCTATTTTTTTAGCCCCACTGTGGGCAAGCGACACGATTGCCTTGGGGAGAGTTGGAGCCTGGCAGGCATAGCAGAATGTAGTGACTTGGGCTTGCTGCAGCTTGCAGGGAGGTGTGAGGAGCATGATACTCCGGACTAGTGGCCATCGGAATTCAACGTGATATCCTGTCCCGATGGCCAACACGCTGTGAATGGCACAGTGAGTGTGGGACAGGCTGCTGGTAATCTGTGTCAGTGTGTTTGTGTATATCAGTGTATCATACCTCAGAGAGTAAAACATTCAGGGTAATTTGTAAGACTTATTTTGCTAAATAAATCCAAATGGCACAACTAAGGCAAAGTTAGCCATGTTGTGACTGTAGCCGAGCTAGAGAATGTTTCCACATTTTTTTATTATTTTTTTTGCCTCCATTTCTCTTTTCAGGTTTAGTTTGTGACAATTCAGAGTTGAGCATATAGCCCATGAATTTTGGCAGTGGCTCCAAAATTGTAATTTGAAATTATTTTGTGTCAGGACACGTAGATTGGGTTACCACTTTAGTCCCTTGGACAAGTAGATTTAAAAACTTTTTTTATTTAACTCCACACTCCTGCATTAAGCACTAAAACAACTTCTTATAGTAGCTTCGGTGAATAGATGTTGTCCCTTTGTTCAGCCTGTACAAAACATTGCATTTCCAAGAACATTTCCAACAGCCACAAGAGGTCCTTTCTCCTGAAGAATGTCAGTGTTTTGGAAAACCCCCATACTCTGTAACATCGTGATGACACTCCACTAATTCCTACGTATTGTATTTGGTCCTTCTCTGTGAGATGTATTGGATTAGTGGAGCACACTGACTTGTATGTGCCATAGGTCCACCTTACTTCTCCAAGGAGTCTGTTGGTTTTGTTTTGGTTTTTCCCATTTAAAACATGAAAGGCTCTTATTGTAAAGCAATAAAGGACCTAAACTAACTGTATATTTCTTTAACATATATTGTGTTGACTATAATATTATGATTACTGGGACATCTCATTGTGCATGACACCATTTTAGAAGAGTGTGACAGCATTACCGATAAAAGCATTCTTACAGACTCTAACTTTGCCGGAAGCATAATGTAGTATACAATAGGCAAACTCTGAGTGCAGTGTCTCTCGCTAGCATAGTGTGTTCATTGCTAGAGATGTATAATTAATTTTGCATCTTTTTTTTTTTTTTTTCCAGTAACTGTGAGGTCCTAACTACATTAACACCAGATACAGGGCGAATCCTCTCCAAGCTCCACTCTGTACAGCCAATTGGGAAGATCAGCTTCTGCACTGGTATCCGAGTTGCACACGTGAGTCTCGCTATTGCATTCTCTAAGCAATGAGTGCACCTTGTTTGAGCACAGGTGTGTGTACATAACATATGTATTGAACACAGCATTTTCTGAGGAAGGATGACCGTTTTTACTATTGAAGTGACCCACCAAGTTGGTGTCAACCCAAGATTATACAATAAAATATTTTAAAATTTCCTGTACTTTATGCATATACTTGGATTTTCAGTTGCAGCAGGGAGATCTGCCCAGACCAGGAAGTAGCTGAAAATTATTTGTCCATTCCTGCAACTGCCATCATCTGCTGAGCAAATATTCTATATACCCTTATTGGTTTGGAATTAAGCACTCAAAGCAGCATGAGTGAAATGGTTGCAGCTGGCAGCTATATGCTTACTTGCAGCTTAATTCACATTTTGGCAAAATTGAGTATTATTATTCCTTGGTTGTAATCCAGAGTCAGAACTGTAGAAAGATTTATCTATTCGCTGGTTTATATAACCCCATATGTCTTCAAAATGCTTAAAGGGACATCTCATTAAAGTGGTATGGGTGCAGTGATCTTGTCCCCTTATCCCTGCAGTCTGAGAAACTTCAATAATTACTTTGACAGACCCTAGAGGCAATCTTTTTTTTTTTTTTTTTTTTTATATATATATATATATATATATATATATATATATATATATATATATATATATATATATATATATTAGAAATATTCTCACATTATACAACTGGTTCATAGTATGATAACTGGTATGTTGTCAATGAACATCTTACATTAGTTCTTATTATAGCATAACGAATACAATATTAGTAAGTTTTTTTACTTATCAGTCTCTGCGGGGGGTCTGCGTTCGTTGCTTGCTGTCGGGGGTTTGTAGTCGCAGAGTGAATGTGTCAGACTGTCGTCTTGTGTATAACTTGTGTGTCCGTGTATCATATTCTTGCATGATAGTGCTGTTTTCGCTGTTAGTGACTAGGTGCTCAGTGCGGTGTTGCTGTCGCCCATGTACAGGTGAGTAAGCAGCTGCCTAACCTGTGTATGTGAGGTCCCTCTATAGCGCCTGGGAGGCATAGTGTGTACTGGGCCTATCTGTCCAGGTTGTCCCTGTCATGAATGTAGAGTAGATCGTGTCCTTTGGTGTATGGGTAGGTCCCGGCTCTTTCGAGTTGGCAGCTCCGAGGTTCAACTTCTGCAGGAATGCTCTTGGATCTTCTGCTGGGGTTGGTATGAAGGTCTCGGGTCCCCGAGATCCTATCAGTGATCCGTCGTCTCCCCAGCGGTACCGGATCATGGTGTCTCTCAATTGCCTTGCAGTAGGGGCTAGGTGTCTTTTTGCTGCCAACACTCCAAATGGTAGGTCTCCATATATGGACACTGCTCCGCCTTCATAGGTTACCGTTCCAAGAGTTCTAGACATGATGGCGCTTCGCACCGTGATGTCCCTCATGGTGGCTATAACATCTCTTGGTGCTTGGGAGGGGGCAGTCGCGGCTTTTCGGATCCTGAAGGCCGTTATGAGGTCCTTGGCGTAGTTTCTGGCGAGGAGTGAATCCACTACCCCCCCGTATATATTGGAGCAGGGTCTCCTCCCCAACTCTTTCTGGCACCCCTCCAGAGGCAATCTTAACCCTGCAGTCAGACAATCACTAGAGGCACTTCCTGGTGGTTAGGTGACTTTGGGTCCTAACAGGACGTCGTCCCTCTCTGCATGATGACATTCGGCGTCAGTCAATTTCCCATATGCAATGATTTCCTATGGGGAGGGCCTTAAGTGCTCTGCTTATTATAAATAGTCTTTTAAAAGAAGTGATGTGTCCTAGCCTATACTTCAAGACAGAATTGGGAAGTCTTGTTTCATGCTTGCTTAATTTTAAGGGTCACTCCAATTATTAGTTGTAGTATGTAAATTATGGCACAATTTAATTTTAAAAAACGCATTTATACATTTCCAACAAACCTTAGGTGTGTAGGTAGCACAGTGCACTAATCAGCCCAGGTGTTGTTAACAAAGTCTGTGAGCATGAATGGCTAATTTTATTTCTTGGCTTGAGAGGAGTGTACTTTCTAGTGTTTTGCAGCAAATGCTGAAATTTCAAATGTGAATGTCTTTATTCATTTTTCTCTGATCTACTTGTGAATATCAGATGTGTGATGGGATCAGGCATGGTTTTGCTGGAAATAATTTTGTTGGTCTGTCTTGTTTTTAGTTGGCTTTGAAACATCGGCAAGGAAAGAATCATAAAATGCGTATCATTGCATTCGTAGGAAGTCCTGTGGAAGACCTTGAGAAGGATGTGAGTTTACCTTTTTTGTTTTTTACATCCGTACATAAAAGAACCAAAAACTGTGTTCTGTGTGTGTGTGTGTGTATATGTGTGTGTGTATATATATATATATATATGTGTGTGTGTGTGTGTGTGTGTGTGTGTGTGTGTGTGTGTATATATATATATATATATATATATATATATATATATATATATATATATATATATATATATATATCTCAAGAAATTATGAGAGCATTTTTCTGGATTTGGTGATAAATCATATAAATGTATTCAATTTTGCATGTATAAATCAATGTTTCGACCACATAATGGTCTTTAGCAAGATCTATCTATTGAGATATATATATATATATATATATATATATATATATATATATATATATATATATATATATATATATATATATATATATAGTTTCATTTTGAAGAAAAAAGCACTTTTATTTATTATTTTATTTATTTCTTCATTTATAAAATATTTTACCAGGAAGGAAACATTGAGAAATCTCTCGTTTTCAAGTATGTCCTGGGTCTACAAAACATTGTGTTGATACAATAGGGCACAATATAATACAAAAACAATATTAATACACAACATATACAAAATTTAACATAGAACAGGTAGGAAATATATCCTCAACCATGACAGGTGCATTCTGTTTTGAGATACGTAGAGAGGGATCTCTTAAAGGACTTTAGGCTTGGGGAAGATTTGAAACTGTGCGGGAGGTCTTTCCATAATTCCAGTGCTTTGTAGGAAAAGAAGGATCGAGCCGCTTTTTTTTTTTTTGTATTGAGGTAGACTAAAGTGCTGGTACTGGATCAAACAGTTATTGAAAAAGGTTAAAAAGTATCCAGGAGCTTATATTAACACTGACATAAATCCATATATTCTTCAAACAATTACGGAAATTGGATGGCTTGATAATATTATTCAAGGAGTCCAAATAGTGACCTATGCACCAAATTAGTCCGAAACAGAAAGAGAATACAACGTATCATAAAAACCTCTAACTTGTAAAGATATCCTTTGCAAGATTAAACGAGGTTGATATGAATTTGATTTACATTCATATAAGAAGGTCTTAGTAAAAGTAGAAAACGGAAAAAATGAACTCCTTGAATAATATTATCAAGCCATCCAATTTCCGTAATTGTTTGAATAATATATGGATTTATGTCAGTGTTAATATAAGCTTCTGGATACTTTTTAATCTATTTGTTTGTACATATGTATAAGATTTGATGAGATCCTGTCCTTCCAGTTTAAGAGCTTTTTTAACTAATGGTTTGTTTTATTCACTCTTACCTATTTTCTAACAGCCAAATTTTTTGACTATTAGAATTCAATTATATTGAAAAAGGTTGTTTGGGGGTTTGTTTTCAATGTCATATTTAGTCTTTATTGTGAAATACTGTAGAGTTAGTGACCGCTATAACATGATGGTTTAAAGGAGACTGCTAATTCACTAACATATATAATGAGAGCTTGGCTCTTCAGAATTATTCTGTCAGGTGTTGCACATTTCATTTCAGACACATAATGTTGCAAAGTGGCATTTTGTAGATGTGTTTAATTCTGCACTAATCCTGCACTTGAGGTACCATCACTTGCTGAACTCGTTAAAATCGGCTAGGGCAGGCGTTAAACTGTCAAGATGTAAACCAAAACCGTGGCATAAACTTAATGTTAGTAAGATTTTGCAGAGTAGGGTTAGGCAACCTTTAGCACTTCAGATGTCGTGGACTACATCTCCCATAACACTCTTCTAGACAGAATGCTGGCAAAGTGTCAAGGATGATGTAGTCCATAACATCAGGAGTGCCAAAGGTTGCCTACCCTTACAGTAGAACATGTATATTGGAGAGTGTTTTATCACATCAACTGGATTGTCATGTCTCATATATGCCTTATGTTAAATATCCACTCTCTTTCAGTTGGTGAAAATGGCAAAGCGTTTGAAGAAGGAGAAAGTTAGCGTAGATATTATCAACTTTGGAGAGGAGGTATGAACTCAGATTTTCTATAAAAAAAAATTTCTTCAATTTTTCAAACAGGATATTTTATAGCAACCTAGTTACTTTTAGTTTTGCTTACAGTTTGTATGTCTTGCTATGATCAGACCTTTTAGTAACATTCAGATGAAATACGCTATTTTTTTCATAAAGATGCTGTTTGAAAAACACAGAAGTGACAATGCAGCTTTAAGACTTGGAGTGGTCTGCAGTTTATGGCTTTTGTATGACCGTTTGTTTTACTCCTCCCAGGAATCTAACACCGAGAAGCTGACTGCATTTATCAACACATTGAATGGAAAGGATGGCACTGGCTCTCACTTAGTCACTGTTCCCCCAGGTCCAAGCCTAGCTGATGCTTTGATCAGCTCTCCCATCCTAGCTGGGGAGGGAGGTGCAATGCTAGGCCTTGGTGCCAGTGACTTTGAGTTTGGAGTGGATCCCAGTGCTGACCCAGAGCTGGCTTTGGTAAGTATCTAAATTTTATCCTTGAAATGTATATAAATGCTGATTCTATGCACATGTATCCAATGTTCTTTGGACAATTTTCGAGATCCATTATTGCCAAATTGCCTTACTCCATAGCTTGGATTAAAACTAATACAAAGTTAGAGATTTTACTGATTGAAACTGCCTGTAATGATTTTCTCCCTATGTGGATGTTTTTGGCATGTTTATGTATTGCCTGAATTCAGCACTATTTGTGTGTTACCTCAGGCTTTGCGTGTGTCCATGGAGGAGCAGAGACAGCGGCAGGAAGAGGAGGCGAGGAGAGCTGCTGCTGCATCCGCTGCTGAGGCTGGAATAACATCGACTGCACCCGATGGTGAGAAACTCTAGCCTGTAACCCTCTAACTCTTTGCTGTGTTTTGCATTGTATTCTTCTATTTACTTTTTGTTGGTGTATGTGTGCAGATTCAGATGAGGCATTGCTGAAGATGACCATTGGCCAGCAGGAAGGGGGCCGGACCGGTCTGCCAGATTTCAGCAGCATGACTGAGGATGAACAGATCGCTTATGCAATGCAGATGTCTTTACAAGGAGCAGGTATGGACTGGGGCTTGCACACGGCACAGTAACCTGCTACAACAGCCTCGCTCTTTGAATAGGCTTCTTATGAAGTAAAACAAACACATTTACCAGCACTGGTATTTCAGGGACTCTTGAGCGTAATATATCTGGTCCAGTGATTTCTGAGCTACTCATGCAATGCATTTTAAAATGAATTGCGTAGATTTTCAGGATTTTTCCACATACCAGCATGTAATTTGTGTCTTTAAGGAAGGTCCTATTTAATAAGAGGTTAGTCACCTGTGCTTGGTTGAACTTTGGACCCTGTCTCGTTTTGTTTAAAGATCCTTTGACGATTGTTATGAACAGCTGTAACATATGCCCCCATTAGTTCCACTGAGCCAAGCCCTAACAGAGTTTGCAAAGATCTGGTTTAAATGCACTGAAGTACCCCCAAAGTAATTTTTTATTTTATATAGTAAATATTTTGTGTTTTGACAATGAGGCTTTGTATATAATTTTTTTTTTAATTTCTCCCAGCAGAATTTGGCCAAGCAGAGTCAGGTGACTTAGATAGCAGTGGTGTGATGGACACATCTGAGCCTGTCAAGGTGAGCTATCTCCCTGAGACCGATCACTCCATCTTCGTTTCTTCCTTGACACTGATTGATACCCCATTTTCTTCCCTTTACAGGAGGAGGAGGATTATGATGTGATGCAGGACCCAGAGTTTCTACAAAGTGTCCTTGAGAACTTGCCTGGCGTTGACCCAAATAATGAGGCCATTCGCAATGCCATGGGTTCTCTTGCTTCCCAAGCATCAAAGGATACAAAGAAAGACAAGAAGGAGGAGGAAAAGAAGTGAGGTGCTGCAGCTGGGTGCTAATAAACTAATTATGGGCTCTCAGAGGTGGGCTGGGGGTCGGGCATGAAGACGTTGTAACTGGTTGTAGTCATTAATAAAATACACGCTGTCCCTCTGATCTGGCACCCATCACTGGTTACTTAACCAAGCCACTTGGAAAGAACATCCTGCTCCTGGAAGGGCTGAGTGCTCACGTCAACCATCATCTAAATCCTACCTATTGTCTGTGTGAGGACTCGCTCTTATTGCTCAGAGACACTGCTCAATCATGTTCTAGAATATCAAATGTGCTAAATCCTGTTGGAGAAGCTGAGAACCACATACTACATTAGATAAACTTACTGTCTCTTCCCTCACTCCTTGCCCCCTGCACTCTTGTTTTCTGTCACTCATTAAGGTGTTGAATTACAAAGCAATTTGGGTGATCCCTTTCCATGAGGTTTATGGGTTTGTTTGGTTTTTTTTCGGGGTATTTTTCAGAAAACTCTCCCATAAACTCCCTTCATAGATCCTGTGTTGGAATTAGAAAAGTGCTGTAAAACCCAGATTGTTTACTCAGGGAGACATATTGAAAATGAAAGTGATAATAACTATATTGCCATTTTACTCTGTAGTGGATGAAAGCTCTGTCAGGTTGCCTACAGCCTGTTCAGTTCCGCAAGATCTATTCAAATGTGCCGGTTACTTTAACAAGGTGATCCTATAGAGGGACAGTATACTAAAATAAATTCCAACTTGCCTGTGTTTCTTAAATCATTGCCCACCATGTAATGTCTGATGCTCAAAGTGATAATAGTGGAAGTGTGTAGGTGCAGGATGTGGGAGTGTTTGTATGTATCTATTGGTTGGTAAGAGTATGCAGTGATTGAGCTAAATATAAACGGGAGTTACAAGAATCTGTGATGGCGATGTTGGTTCTAAAGAACATTTTTGAGTTGTTTAAAAAAAAAAAAAAAAATGTCCCTCACAGCTGTTTGCTTATTATGGGGCAGAGACGGCATTGCTGTGTTATTGCTCCTACTTTAAACCTGTAAACTTTTGCAAAAGATGTTTGGAACTATAAAGTATTGAAAATAAAATTGGTGACAACCTTCTTTTACTTGAGTGATAGAGTGATAAATCTTTGAGAATTCTAACCGTGTCTCCCTTCAAATGTGCTACAGCCTTCATTTTACCATTATTCACATACTGACACATTCATGAGATATTCTCTAAAATCTTGCTAAACTATATGTCTTCACTCACTCATACAGGAACTAGTATTTCTTACATGTTATTTTCCAAATTATTATATGCCAAGTTAATGCATCTGATTTTGAGCTATATTCATATACATTTTACCTAGTCGTTTATTAAACCAAATCCTTGATGTGTCACATGACTAATTCAGTAATGTGTAACCTGTTCTCATTAATGAGTTCCTTGGCTGTGTGGTATGGGAGTATAGTTGTATGAAGCTGTTTTGAGTTAGTATCTTCATTCTCTGATGTAGTAAACTCTTATTAAATCTTCTTCTGGTACAAAATGCAAAATAATGAACAAGGCAAATAAACTTGGTTCTCTGTATCACTGAAGTCATCTAGGCCAGGGGTTCCTATACCTTCAGGGGTAGAATCCAGTGCCCTTGGGGGCAGTGATGTATTTAGTATCTGTGCGGAACGGTGACGGAACTCGGGCACCCCCTAATTTACATTTGCCCCACCCCTTCCTGTCAATGCCACACCTGTTCCCGTTAAATGACTAACACACACTTTGACTGACACACACTCTCTGATACACTGACATACACACACGCTGACAGACACTCACAGACACACACACAGGCGCCCTCACAAACAATCACTCAGAAACAAACACATATTCACTGACAGACACACACTCTCACTCACTGTCTCATTCACTGACAGACATACACAATCACTCAGGCACACACTGACAGCCAGACACACTCACTCACCGACAGACAGCCACACACTGACACAAACACAATCACTGAGATACACACTGACAGACATACACACAATCACTCACATACACACTGACAGCAAGACACACACTGATATACACACACTGACAGCCAGACACACACAATCACTTGGATACACACTGACAGCTAGACATAAACACACACACAGACACACAATCACTCAGGCACACACTGACAGCCAGACACACACAATCACCCAGACATACACACTGACAGACCCCCCCTCCCCAAACATTAAATGATTACTTTTTCTATTTTAGTTTAAATCCACCCAGCCTCTCCCTACCTTTGGGAGTGCTGGGTGGATTTTTTTTTTATTTTACCTGGGGTCCAATGGGGCTTCTGACAGAAAGGGAAGCAGGCGGTTGGGCGGCAAACTAAAAATCCGGGTGAGCGGCACAAGCGAGGGAGCACTGATTAGTAAGCTGTCTCTGCTCAGCTCCCTAGCGCTCCTGGCATCACTCTGCGGTACGCGAGGGAGCTGAGCAGAGAGCTCACTAATCAGTGCTCCCTTGCCAGTGCCGCCCGCCCGCCTGGATATTTAGTTAGCCGCAGCCAGGCTAACAAGGTATTTGCCTGGGCATTCAGGGGCGGCGTTTTTTGCTGCCTCCTGGAAAGTGCCGCCCAATGCAAATACGTCCCTGCTTGGGGGTACACAAACAAAAAATTGGTAATTGTGCCAGTGCAGCTGCAGCGCACAAACTGGAAACATAGGTGAAGGTCCATCAGGTGCCCCATACCCTTAGGGCCATCCAATGGACTTGAACAATGAGGGGCCCAGTTGTGTGCTGCAGCACTTTAGTGCGACTGGGCTTCCTCATGTCTGCAGGGAGAGCTGTGAGGAAGTGAGAGATGGTCACTTTCTCTTAGCTCAAACAGACTGCTGCGTTAGTGCCTGCCTTCATCCGCCCACATTATTTCAACACCGCCCCCTTTGCCATTATAACTCCGCCTCTGCCTACTACATTTTAAAGGGACACTGTTTATTGTGTCTGGAGTTCCCTGGTACCATAATATAATTCAGCATGAAACGGTTTTTATGTTTTCATGCTAAATAAGACTTGCCAGTAGCCCTCCCTACTCACCCCATCTATGCTGCTTTGCTTAATGAGGAAGTATTAACCTGAGCAGAAATGGGCATGTGTGATTGGTTAAGTGTCAGCTGACCACTTTTAGCCTATCAAAGCTCCAACTGATGGTATGACTACAAGGAAGTGTGCTAATCTCTGCTTTAGCCCGCCTCCAGAGGGGGACAGACTGTGGGTGGCCAGAGACCCTTATATAGTGTTAAATTGCTTTAAAATGGTTTAGCACTGAATGGAGGGACAGTGCCTGGTGACTCCAGGCACTATAAACTATTCAAAGAGATGAAATGGTTATAGTGTCCCTTTAACCCCGTCTCTATTACATATATAGCTACCTTGGCTATGTCTGCCTCCCACCTCCCAACAGCCCTGGCCAGCAGAAGCCACTCTTCTGCTCCCATAAGGTAGGAAACTAGAGGGTGTATAAAACCCTCACCCGTATGTGTGTTTGGGGTGTCTGTATGTATGTAGTGTTTGTATCTGTGTGTCGTATCAATGTGTGTATCTGTATGTCCATGTATCTGAGCATCTGTCTGAACATCTCTATGTATGTCTGTATGTGTGTCTGTGCATCTGAATGTGTATCAGTGTTTGTTTTTGTATCTTTGTATCTGTGTGTAGTGTCTATCTGTACTGTGAGAAGCATGAGGAACCTGGAGAAGCAGGGAGAGAGTGGGGCAGCGTAGGAGCGGGGGCAGCCTGGTGCAGGGAAATGGGGCAGAGAGAAATGTATAACTTTGAAATAACAGCAACAATATTAATTAAAAAAAAGAACTTTGCTAATATGGGGGATACAATTTATAGAAATGGGCTGCCAAGGGGCTACTCAAGTGAAAGGGGTTGGGAACCAATGATCTAGGCCACTGGGGGATTTACCTGTGTAGATATAGGGACACTGTAACACTAGGAATGCAAGTTTGCATTCCAAATGCTATAGTGTTCCTTTAAAGGGACACTATAGTCACCTGAACAACTTTAGCTTAATGAAGCCGTTTTGGTGTATAGAACATGCCCCTGCAGCCTCACTGCTCAATCCTCTGCCATTTATGAGTTAAATCCCTTTGTTTATGAACCCTAGTCACACCTCCCTGCATGTGACTTGCACAGCCTTCCATAAACACTTCCTGTAAAGAAAGCCCTATTTAGGCTTTCTTTATTGCAAGTTCTGTTTAATTAAGATTTTCTTATCCCCTGCTATGTTAATAGCTTGCTAGACCCTGCAAGAGCCTCCTGTATGTGATTAAAGTTCAATTTAGAGATTGAGATACAATTATTTAAGGTAAATTACATCTGTTTGAAAGTGAAACCAGTTTTTTTTTCATGCAGGCTCTGTCAATCATAGCCAGGGGAGGTGTGGCTAGGGCTGCATAAACAGAAACAAAGTGATTTAACTCCTAAATGACAGTGAATTGAGCAGTGAAATTGCAGGGGAATGATCTATACACTAAAACTGCTTTATTTAGCTAAAGTAATTTAGGTGACTATAGTGTTCATGTAACTATTCATGACCATTTATTTTTTTGATTCTACAACTGTCATTCCAAGAATCTGGTATGTAACCTCTGCCCTGCCATTAATTTAAGAGGCCCATCCTACTTTTAGTTTATAAAGTCTGAGAATTTTATCCTTCCTTGCTTTGTGTCTGCTTGAGCACAGGTGAAATTATAAACTCCAATAAATATTTCTGTATTTGTTACATCTCTGATGTGCGGCTTTTAAAAATATTTAATTTCACCTGAGCAAGCAAGATGTATTTGCAACCCAAAAAAAATTCTACTGGCAAATATATTTTTAGCAAATGTAAAAAAAATAAATAAATAGTACTCAGGGCGCGACAAATTCCAGGTCACCATGATGACCACGAAATTTATCCTGGCACCTGGAATTTGTAAGCATGTTCAACCCCTGAGGTGACCGGCTGCCCGTGATTGGAGGGGGGCAGAAGGCTCATGCAGGGCTGAGGCAGGCAGGCAGGCGGACTGTCGCCCATTGAGAGCTGACGGCTGAATGAGTGCAGCTGGCCGCAGGCGCATAATGAGTGCTGTGGCCAGGAAGCTGTAATCTCCCTGCTCTGCTCTCTCGCGCACCCTCCAGTGATGCTGGAATATGACGTAATTCCTGCCCCGCATCACTAAACGTTCAAGGGAGCAGAGCAGAGAGATGACAGCAGCCCCACTGGACCATAGGGAAAGCTAATCCACTCCAGCTTTTTCAAAGGTAGAGAAGCTGGGTGGATTTAAAATAATGATTTGTGAGTGGGTGTTGCAGTGAGTGTGTGTGAATGTGTTTCAAATCACTGTCTGTGTGTTTAGGTGACCTGCATTGTATCAATCACATGGGAAAGGTGTTTTTACTCACCCTTTCCCCAGGCCGTGCTGGTGACGCCGTGGCTGACCCCACCTCAATGGCTGAGATCATCAATCTTGATCTCAGGCAATCTAATGCTTCCTCATTGAAATCCATTGGGAGACTATTGTGCATGTGCGGCAAAGCCCCATGCTGTGCAATCAACTTCTCATAGAGATGCATTGAATCCCATTGACCCAGGAAGTACTTGTAGAGGCCATCTGAGTGACTGTCACTAGAGGTGTTACCAGACAGCAATGTAAACCTCGCCTTTAGTCTGAAAAGTCAGTATGTTACATTGTAAAGTGTGCAGGGTCAGTGTATAGACTAAAGAACAACTATATTATGCTGTAGTGGTTCTGGTGACTAGTGTATTTCTGATGATAATCTGGCTCTTAACTTTTTTTAGCTGGCTAGTAGATTTCAAGCAAATTTGTAAAGCCCTGACTTAAGATTCCAAACCTGTTTCTTGCATTTTTCTGATATGAGTAAAGGGACATTGTGCTTTTCGGTGATAGAATTTTCATAACAGGAGTGACAAGGTACAGGAACATACAAGTATTGGCGGTGGCTAAAAGTAAAAATAAATGCACTGCACAAAGTTTATAAATACATTTATTTTGTAAAATATTTAGCTAAGAGCAGAGGAAGGGAACTTTATATCCAACACTAAGCTGGCATCAAAGAATCTTTTGTATTACAGATATAGAAAGATGATTAAGAAATAATATATATGGTGAATACTAGAGTCATGCCTCAACTGGTATACGGTACATAGTTATGAAGACCATATCACTACGAAATCACATTCAGATAAATAAACTGTGTTTAGATTATCCCATATATAAGATATTAGTCCTAACCTGTATATGCTGGCAGGAGCGATTGTATAAAAAACAGTGGCTGTAGCTGTGCAGGGGAAAAGCTTGTTACTGTAACGTTAGAAGAATGGCCATTTTTTTAAAGATATCAGTGTGTGTGATGTCATTCAGGGATCAAAATGATTGGATCGTTTATTAATAATTCTTATGAGATGAAACAAATTCTCACTTTTTAGTGTTTTTCTGTCTTCGCATTGGACCCTCTGTGGGCTGTTGCAGTAGGCAAACATTGTACGGAGTGTTAATACATATAGCGGATTGGACCAGGGACGTTTCGGTGATTAGAATGTCATTGCATCTTAGTTGAGACACACTAAGTGGTAAGACTCCAATTGGATGAATACATTAACGGGCTAGTAAAACACAGATCGGGGCAAGAATTCTTTAGAAGATAATTACAGAACAGTATTACTTGGCCACTGTGTCGATTTAATTTCAGCTTGTCAAAACTAGTAAATGAGTTTTAGGAGACAATAAAGGGGAGCAGTAAATTTGAGCTCTTAAGGAGAGTCAAGGAATGTGCTATTTATAGCAAATCACTACTTACCAACAGGAAGACGAATTGTCAATTCCCACAAATTTAAATATAGCGTTTATATAGAATGTATACATGAATTCACTCTATTTCCCATAATGTGCCGCATTCATTGTGAGTTTTCCATGAAATTTGGCAAACCCACTTCTCTTGATCACACTCCAGTGGAAACACTGAACATATCCCATAAACCCTGTACTGAAGGTTTTTGGAAAGTTGCAGTTTATTTGAAAGCTGTATAGTCTGCAATTAGCTTAATTCATAAAAGAGAACTGGATCGAAGGAGCCTGGAGCATAAAATTTAAAGGGACACAAAGCAAAATATCACTACACCTTACTATGGCTGTGGTGCTTCATGAGACCCTTTAAATTGTATTTATGGAGCTCAGCTGTAAATCATTTATCAGAAATCAGACATTATAGCCACAAAGTGTGCCTGTAATATAATGCACACGCTTCGTTGGGACATGGGTTTGACTGTATATAAGGATTAGATTCTGAGAATCAAGATCAGTTGTTATTGGCATTTAATATGGCCGTCAACATATTATGCAGCTCTTTACAAGTATATAGTGGGCTCATGTAAAAAAGTAATTGACTAACAAAATAATCTTATCCCCCCTCCCCCCCCACCCAAAAAAAAAGTTTGTAATCTATAATACATTTGGATAAGGGAATATAAAATGAAGTTACGTGGCAGGACGAGGCCAGATTGACAGGTATACTGCTTGTAGCTGATAGCTATGGTTTAGTGTAGAATCGACAAGTGACTAACTGCATTTATTTCTGAATAAAAGGAGCAAATACCAAAAATAAAAAGCAGGGAATGTGCATCAACTTAGCAAAAGCGTCAGAGATTAGAGTTCTTGTCTGCTCTGTGCATCAAACACAGGTCATTCTGAGCTGGTAAATTGAGTGATAGATGCATGAAATGGTTTGATAGACAGTGACCAAACACTGGCTGTGATTTCTGATGCTGGGAACATGCTTTGATTTTCTTGTTTAGAAAGGCAGTTCGAGTCTTTATGTTAATCGTAGACACTGTGTTTGCGTTTCTCTAAGTTCTCCACAGATTGTTATATACAGATTTAGATGAAGTGTCGGTAGAAGTGTTCAGAACCTGGTGACGCTGGAGACTGGCTTCTGGTGAATTTCATGCAGCGAGGCTAATTCGTCCCCGAGCAGGAGCTAGAGGTACAAATATCTGTAATTAATAAAGCAGCAGAGATACAGGACCGAAAACAAACACAGCTTAAAACTGCTGCAGTTCTTATGTAGTTTATAATTGTTTTCGGCACATTGTGTGACATTAGCACTACTCAAAATGTTGTGCCCTAAAGCAAAACTGACACCACTATAAGCATTGTATAGCTTTGGGCCTTTCTTTGCCCAAGCGGTGAGCTTTATCTTATGTTCTGTCTCTATGTGGCACTGAGAGACCTCATGGGCTGCTAAGGTCATTAGATGGGGATGAATAATTGAGAATACTTACGTGTGAACGTAGTGAGTAAATATGTTGGTTTGTTGTTGCAAAGCAGGGTCACCAGGCTTCCTAATGTCCCAGCAGCAGCAACCTGCACGTCCAGTGACAGGCCCAGGGTTACGTTTCTCTGAAGGCAGGGAGAAAACTGCCGTAATCCTCACAAATAACTAAATAACCTATAAAGGTGTAGTTATGTATCCCATGTTGCTACGTGGTTGTTGATCCCATTGTATCCCTATATTACTGCCATGTGCATGTATTGGCGTACCTTGATGTGCTTCCTATTCCTGTCTACGTGCATGTTTTGGGGTTCTATATTGTACCTCTAATCATGTGCGTATTACATTGTGTCCTGGCCTTGTATTTCTAGCCATGTGTATGTTTGGAAATCCTGCATGCAGGTGTGGAAGTTCTGTGCTGTTTCCCCATGTTCCTGCTTGTGTGTAGGTGTGAAGTTTTTGTCCTCTGTCGCAGATTGTGAAATATATTTACCAGCACTGCCTGGAAGTAACTCTCCAAGTCTTGGCAGGAAGGCAACATCTCTGTAGCATCCATTCGCCTTGCTACACATCCTTCAGGTTGGCCGTGATAAACCATCAGGTGCTGAAAGAACAAGAGTCAATGTTATTCATGTTGCCCTCTTTAAACCTGGAGAAATGTCCTTAATACCCACGTAGTTATGCCACATAAGAGAGCACATCCGGGGTTAATCTAACTACTCTTAGCCCCTGTATAGCCTTACGTGAGCACAAAAGAACATTTTTCTGCACCCAAGTTCCTGTCGCTAACACTCCTTACATTTTTAAGGTCACATGTGATGCCAGGTGTGGAACCCTGCTCGGTGAGATCACTGAGTGCCAGGAGCAGCGATGCCTCATTCTGGACGTTGAGTTGGGCTGGCAGATAACCAGACGTGTCTCTCTGTAAAGATAGGTACATTAAATGACTCAGGCAGCATTCCCCCATTGGATACACAATGAGCGAAAATTAGAGGGATTATTTAAAGGGACACTAAAGTCATCAAGACCTCTTTATCTCAATGAAGTGGTCTAGGCGCAGTAGCACTGTCCTTTTAACCTTGCAATGTAGAACATTGCAGTTTTTCTATGCAAGGTTTAAATGCACTCTGTAAGCATCCAGACTGCTTCATTTCTTGTGATGAAACATTGGATTGGCTGGGATCATCAACACTGATGATCTCAGCCAAAGAGTCGGAGCCGCAAGACAGAGCCTGGCGCGGCGTGGACTGAGAAGTAAGTAATACTTGCCTTTCAAACCTTCATAGGGGGGACACTAAAACTGGTAGTAAAAATCTATAGCGTTAGGAATACATATTTGTATTCCTAACGCTATAGTGTAACGTTAAAAATTTTAAGCGTGAAAAACTCCCCCCCCCCAGTAAAAATTGTATTATGTGTGTTAGTGTGCATTTAGTGTCTCCCCCCCAAGAAACCAGATTAAAAAAAAAAAAAAAAAAACATATTAAGATGTATACATCAAGGGAGCCATTTGTAATTAACCCCTCAAGGACCAATTACTTATTTTTCCGACAGCATACTCTAGTGACCCTGCCGTCACTATGCGAGAGGGACATTCTATTTTGCTATTGCATATGTAAAGAACAGGTTGCTATGACAACACAGAGCATCATTGACTTTTAAGATGTTCAATCTGCAAAATCTGCCTTAGATTACACTGTGATGTGCACAAGTATTAGTAACAGTTTCTCCACCAGCCCACCTGTGTGCATGCAGCTTTTCCTAAGTACGTGGCCAGCAGTACTCCCAGCACGCTGATAGCCAGAGCGGCTACTGCCCCCACGGTCATTATTAGCAGCCTGCGGCCAGATGGAGAGGGTGGCGGGGGGAAGTCCAGAGCGGTCGGGAATGGCTGAGAAAAACAAGAAATCTTAATCTAAAACGTCCTGATTGCAAAATCCATGCAGCTAATAATTCACAGGTCCCCCACACCCGCCCCAACATCTCCTTAAAAATAACATATATCATAGAACAAGCTGGGTGATGATGGCGGATGTCCCAGATGTATCTGGTTATGTCCATTCTGTTTATTGTGCTAAGTGTATGAGAGTGTGTCCAGTGCCCTTTGTGCCATGTATGGTTTCTCTACTTGTTTCCCATCGAGTACACATGACAAAATGTCAATATTACAGCAGCCCACTGTGTTGAGTACAGAATGGGGTCCCATGCATGCACTGATTGATAGTATTGTATCTGCATTGCAAGGCGTCTTTATACCGTTGTAAAATAATAGTCTCAATAATGCGAATCTCGATGGTATATCTTAATGATACAAGTGTAGTATCATACAAAGTATTGTTTAGTTACTTACATACGGTGGGCTCTTTATCTGCACCCTGGGAGGCCAGGACTCGGGCGTCTTCTCTTCAGCAGACATGCCAGAATTGTTGAAAGGCAGTATTGGATCAGAGAGGGAGCTATGATTATCTGAGAGGTGCTGCGCAGGTGATTGAGGGTTTTTATATAACAATTTCCCCCCTTCCCTCTGCTCATCCCTGACCAATCCATACTGAGTAACCTGATGCAGGACAGGCTCTGCCCAAATTCAAAGCTTCTGGATTACCTGTCTCCCATACAGGGGGGCAGGACAAAGGATAGTTATAGCTGGGCTACCGTAACCCATGGCATTCTGACATCGGTTAAACTTTGCAAACCCTTTTAAAGTTTTGATGTAGTTAACCATAAATCATCCTTATAGTGTTTACTTATTTAACCCATTAAAGAGTATATTGTAGGTAGTTTGCTATTTAAAGACCAGGCCAATTATGGAACAACAATAATTTGCACACAACTATTAAAAGAATACTCCAAACATCTAAAGTACTTTATACGTGAAAAGTGTGTTCACTTTTCTTTTTGCAAAAAAAGTGCAGATTTCTATAGAAATTGGCACTTTTATTATTTTATTTATACCCCTACGGCTGTTAATCAGTCAACTGGTCGTTTCTTTTTGGTAGTTTAGTGCAGTGGGGCTAAACTCACCTGTCAAGAGCACCTGACGTGCAAAGATTTCTCATTGAACTGAGATTGGACAGCCAGACAAATTCTGAGTGGTTTAGAATTAAAGGGCTTGCAAAAGCTGCAGACAAAAAATACATAATTAAATGCATGCATGTTTTCACTTGGATATATCTACTAAATAGTGTTTTTTTAGAACAGGGTGGGGGGTGTAAGTGAAGTATTGTGTTTAATGGACAAGTATGTATAAATCTGCTTTTTTAAATTTGATATATAAAAATAATGTTTATTATAGTTTTATCTGTAATATTACATTACAGGGACATTTTATCAAGTTCTGCTCTAGTAAATGTGAGTACCTGACTTTATTCTCTTTCGAGCACTTATAAGTACTTACTTCAATATTGCTATATCCTTTAGTTTTTTATATGATCTGCATATTGCACTTTACCGGAGATACAAGAGTGGACTAGAGCTTCATGTATCCTTAGACAGGGATTGTTCTGTCCATGCGCATTACAGCAGAGCTCTGAGATAGCTCTAGTAAATGTGAGTGATACTATAGTAGATATTATATATTAGTCTCCTTCCACCCTTTTCTATACTCAATATACTTACAGGGTTTGGTTTGGGAATCCTTGTATAGGTTACTGCTGCCCATTACCATTATACGCTATATAGTATAGTGAGCGCCTTAAACGTACCCCCTTTTTACGTACTACACAAATATACACTATTTGCAAAGTACACATGACAAATCATAGTGCAGGGAACCTTTTAATGATACTTTACCTGTGTTAGTAAAAAGATGAGCTATATTTAAAATTTGCAGGAATAGGTTTATTTTCCTTATTATGCCAACATTCATTTTAATGTAGTACCAATGGACCACTCTAGGCACCCAGACCACATCAGCTTAATGAAGTGGTCTGGGTGCCTGGTCCTTCTAGGGTTAACCCATTTTTTTTTTTTATAAACATAGCAGTTTCAGAGAAATAATAGGGTTAATCCAGCCTCTAAAGCCTCTAGTGAAAATCACAGTGAGAAAACGCCAGCGTCCATAGGAAAGCATTATGAGACTGGCTGAATGCGCGCGCAGCTCCTGCCGCGCATGCGCATTCAGCCGAAGAGGAGGCGGAGAGGAGGAGGAGAGCTCCCCGCCCGGCGCTGGAGTAAGGTAAGATTTTAACCCCTTCCTCTCCCCAGAGCCCGGCGGGAGGGGGTCCCTGAGGGTGGGGGCACCCTCAGGGCACTATAGTGATCCTTTAAGTAATGATGAGTTCACTTATCATAAGCCTTTAATGTCCTTTTAACAGTCTATGTTGTTTCATGATGAAGCCATTTTATTTCTGCAGTCTCCACCTTCTTGTCTCCAGTGAATGTGGAGATGGTTATTGTTGTATCAGTGTGACATACGTGACTGTGTATGGAGCGGGACTATCCGATATGTCCTTGGTGATTAGAAGTCTGAGGTCGGTCCATTTTTTCTGTAGATAGTTATTAACCCCTCCTGACCTTCTTACTGCCCCCACCATGGAGGATAGAGCTTTGCTGGCCTTCCAGCCCCAAAGCGTATTGACTTCCATCCTGACAATTGAGTTGCTGGGCCTGCCAGAAGCTTGTTACCTGAGCTTTGTGAGCACCTTGTCTTTAGTACAAGAAGCTTCTGTTATGGATTCCAGTTTGGTTCCAAAGCCAATGAATGGTGTTATTTGTACAGAATTTCTAGCACAAAGACATTCCCAGTTACACACCAAAATCCGGTGTCTCCCCCTCCACGCAGCTCCCCCCCACCACCTTGCATTCATTCCCTTCAAACACTACCCAGAAAAGTCTGATCTGAAATCCTGCAGTTTAGAAAGGAAAAACAGGTGCTTTAGTTTCCATGGTGATTGTTCCTTGTTTAGTACTTTTTTTCCCCCGATTAGTTCTTGTTTTTCCTTGATAACCACCACCAAAATGTGAAAATTGTATCAAATTAACAACAAAATTGGAAGTTCTAGGTTAAAGTAGTCAGACTGGTAAAAAATCTTTTACTCCGCTTCTTTTCAAAGTTGACCTATTTTGGCCTAAATTTGCTATTTCCTTGTCAATCCTTCCCAATTCAATGTTCAGTGAATAAATCCCTACTAATGTTCCCATTAGCCCGAAGGGAGTTCAGTCAAGCTTGCATGTTAGTGTACTTTTATTTATTCATTTTTACCAACCAAACGATGCCAATTTGTGCTAGGCCACATTACTGAGCCGCGACTGTCATACATCTATAATTAAAAGTGTTAATCTTTACATTAAAACAAATCTTATCATTTTATTAAGACACGGAGGCTCCTATTATTATGCACTCTATCTTTATTTCCCTCCGCAGCAAAGAAACATATTTATAAACATAACTAGTAAATAATAGTAATAGCCTGAGAGGTAATCTTCCCAGCAACAGGAACAGCCAATCGGATTCCACTCTCCAGCATAATAGGCTCTGTCAAGCAATCCATTTCCACTTTCTTTGCTGCTCCCTCAGTTAAATAAATCTGGTCCCTCAGTTTTCTTAACTGTGGGATTGTTGTTTTCTTGTGATAATATTATTATTACTGTTATTACGATCACCAATTACCCGGCTCTGTTCCTCGAGCACTCTGCTCCCATGTTGGCACCACCGCTCGCAGCGGCCATATATTTGGTTTCCCGCGCTTGGTACTTAGCTCCGCCCCCCCAATGGCCGGATCTCGGAGTTGGGGTGTTAGCTGTAGTGGCGGTCGGACGGCTCCGTGTCTCTCCTGATTCAGTATATTGCTCTGAGTACTCGTTTTTCTTGTTATTTTATCCCTAGATACCTATTACCCTTTTCTCCTTTGGGTTAATCTAGGTTTTCATTCTCATAATAAATTTTGGATTACCGTCAGTTTTAAATAGCATTCCAACCATGCCTACTGACAAAGAGGTTCCCATTCCCTCTGGGTCTCACAACCCCAATCAAGGGATCCCCAAGCAGGGGCATCTGATAATGGAGCGGGTTCACCCACTGAATTTGATCCTGCTGCTGATATGCAGTCGCTGATTGAGTCAATTTCACAGACTCTTACACATGCATTGCTTCAAGCACAGAAATCAGCTCAGCCGACTGTTGCCCAGAATTTGCCTGTTGTAACCCCTACACAACCTCACGCTGGCCGCAAGGCCATGGCTAAACTTAAACACTCCTCAACCTCACAGATAGACAGCTATACACCTGTCACAGATGGCGCGCCTAATCTGCCACCGCGCAAAAGAGCCACTAGCTGGGCAAAATTGGCTAGACTATGGAAAAGGGCAAGAGCCCAACTAGATTTTGAGTCGGATCTCAGCGAGATTGAGGAGGAGACATTTATGGATCCGGAAGATCCATCAGACCCCGAATCAGATAGCCTGGCCGAGGATGACGATCTTCCTCGAGAGCATAATACGCCTCAATCTGACTCGTGTAAAATGGAACTTGCGGCACCAGAGGACGCAGATAAAATTTTGGACCCCCATGGGGAACCTCTGTTCGACCCCGATGATCTATGATCTACGTCATCCACGGTCAACGGAATGGTCCCCTTCGGTCCATGTGGCCAAATATATAGCATCAAGAGTTCACAAGCCGTTAGATAAGGCGACGCGAAATAAACTTCGGGCAGAATTCCCACGCCCCACTGTCCCAGATGATGCCTGCAGAACACCTGCAGTGGACCCAAAAATTACCCAGCTCTTGAGCAAGACAGGCTGGAAGCCTAATAAAGGCCTAGACTTCTCCCTGCATAACTGCCAGGATAAGATATTAGCTATACTGGGCCCGGCAACCAAGATATTTGATATGGTCGAAGACAACCAAGAGTTGGATTGTACCGCCATAAGTGGGTGGATACAACGAGTGATTTGTTTGACTGGCAATGCCAACTCTGCGATGGCCACGGATTGAAAATAGAATCCAAATTGGTAAACATGGCTCTAAACGAGCCAGGCGCCCAAGCCAAAGGTCTCCTGTTCGGGGACAATTTTGTCAAAGAGCTCGGCTCTTTCGTACATAATTTTACTGCCTTAGATAAGGTGCAATGGAATATGCGAAAAAGTTTTCCACCCTAAGGTTTTTGGTGGGGCCAGAAGAGCCAGGAGCCGTCTGTCCGGCTGTGTTAACAGGAGTTCATATAGACAGAACCGAGTCTCCTATACAGGACAACCTACTTTCAAAGATCACCACAACACTCTGGCCTTCTTCCCACAACGTGGGCGACCACGAGGCGCTCGTACGGGACGACGACCTTACGGTAAGCCCTCTCAAGTTTCATTCTTTCCTATGGGCAATGGGGGGGGCAGACTCCTACATTTTTTTCCATGCATGGTCGCACATCTCATCAGATGCCTGGGTACTGAACACTGTAAGAGGGTATTCCATAGAGTTCCTATCCCTACCAATACAATTCTCCCCACCACAGGAAATTCATTTTTCCCGACAAGATGCCTTCCTTGTTTCCAAGGAGGTCTTAGAATTGGCACGCAAACAAGCCATCTTAGAGATCCCTATGACTACCCCAGGCTATGTGAGCAACCTATTCCTAGTTGCCAAGAAAGGCGGCGGTGTCCGCCCAGTGATCAATTTGAAACAACT